TTTGAATGGTGTGGATGCGTTTCTTGAGCTTGATGTGCTCTGCCTTTGAGGTCGGACAGAGCTCATGGGCATCGTGCGGAACACAGGCACCCAGCCCGGTTCTGGATAATGGGCCTGAGTCGTTTGCTATCTCATTCCCTAGACTTCCAAAACACAATGCCAATCATTCAGGCCTCTCCCTGTCAGCCCCGAATTCAGCCCAAGTACTCCGGACAGCAGGTGGGGATGAGGCGGAACTATCTCGGTGGCTGGACTTCGCTACAAAAATGAAGCCACTGCCAGGCTGGAAGTTCCGTTGCACCCCAGCGACACTGCGAGCAAAGCTTAGACTGCATGTTGTGTACACACACACACATACCTGGATATTATATGTATATATATACGTATATATATATATATATATATATATATATATATGTATATGTATATGTATATATATATATATATATATATATACACGTGTGCATATATGTATGTACATACATCGGTGCAAACATAGGTATAGATGGCATATAGATATATGTATACATATGTATGTATGTATGCATGCTATATATATATATATATATATATATATATATATATATACATGCATATCTGTGTGTGTGTGTGTTTGTGAGTGCGTGCATGCATGGATGGATGGATCCATGGAGGGGTCTGTATTTAGATGTAGATGGTCATGTTCCTTTCTATACTTATGTGTGTGTAAGCCATTACATTTTTTGTAATGTAATATACTGTGACATAATAAACACTGCAGCAACATGTATGCATGCATGTGTGTGTGTCTATGTATGTATGTGCAGTAGTAAGTATACATGACCGTAATGGTTAGTTCGGAGAGTTGTAGAACCCTATCATCAACATCTAGTCAAGACGCTTTAGACGACTCCGGCTTTTCAGCATCCCTTACTGCATGCAACCGCAAGCTGCGGAAACCTTGACTGTCGTCTTTGCCCTGAAAAATCGTGGTCAGAATACATATATATATATATATATATGTATACATGTTGCCGGAGCTGTTTTCAAGCAACCGCTCGTCTCTAGCCCACGTGTTACCTGCCATGCAGTCGCGAGACTCGCCATGCGGGAGCCAACAAATATATATATATATATATATATGTTTGTTTGTTTGGGGTTGACACTTCCAGATTTAATATTCCGAGATATTCCAAGTGGTATTCCCTGCTGGTATTCCCTGCTGGCCTACATCCGTGCCATGTGACAAATGCAAGAATTCCTGAATCAGTGGGCAGGTAGCGCACCATCTTCGGGGTGACCTGACAGCAGCTGGTCTTTGGGCACAAGTCCAGCAGCCCCGAAGCCTTAAAAGTCCCGCAATGTAGCCATTTTTAGCTGTGCCGCCGAGGCTCTACGCTCTTCCCAAAGCACCGGAAGGCAGCCCCGAGGCAGGGCGATGATTGTAAACAAGTCATGCTTCACTTCATTCTTCTGTTGACACTATAAACAGTATACCTTCTTCCTATCGGTGTGCTTAAAACTTAGATTCTAGAGCATGTGCCACTGCTGTTTCTGTTCAGTTCCATTATTGGTGTTCCAGCTGCCTCCAGGCGGACCTTTGCTTCTGCTCTTTGGATTGTTTGGAGCAGCATGTTGCTCTGCCGGCGCTCTGGGCTCAGTATTCGCAGTCTCGTGTCGTCCACTTCTGGTACAGGATCCCCTATCTGCCGAGGGAGAAGACTCCGCTTCTGCTCGCAGCAGCTAGGATCATCGCAAATGCGATGCTCCAACACAAAGGCTGCGACAGACTCTGCGCGGACTGCCGTAGTGCATGATGCTACCATGGACAGGTGCGCCTCCCGTGCTCACCCACAAACTCTGCAACAAAAAAGCTTTGATGTCCTCGCACACTTCTCAGAGAGTTTGCTTTTTGTGCCCGACATTCGGTCCGTATCAAGAGCAGGGAAGAATTGCGCATCAGGTGTCCTGCTTTCAAGTGGCACGGGCACGCCTGCAAAGTTCCAGGCTCCGCGCTGTTTTGAGTTCTGCTCCCAGAAGGGCCAGGCAGGGTGACGGCACAGCTTTGTCGTGGCTTCAAATTCCAGCTCGAAGGCCATCCGATCGAGGTTTGGCACCGGCTCACCGCCGGCTCGCATGCGCCTGAGTGGACAGCGCCTGCCAGTTGTACAGATGTGTTCCAATCTATCGTGCGAAGAGATTAGCTTCAATGGCTTTTCTTTTTGCACATACTTATGCCGTCAGGTTCGATCGCTGGCAGCCAAACTTGGCACACCGAAGGTCTGGGTACGATTCGCTTTGGAGTGCCCTGCGGAACATGTCAAGCGATGGCTTGTCGTTCCATCAAGATCAGAGCTCGTGAGGCTGCGGCCAAAGCTCAGGTAGAGGCGCTTCTACCGTGCTTTCCCCGGCTCTTGGTGCAGACGGTACGATGAGATTTGTGAGGGCGGGGCGGCAGGGTCTTCGTGTTCCAAGCGATCTAGATGTCCACGCCAAGCCGCCAAGCTAGAGCGATCCAAGGTTTGGTCTTTTCCAGCGTGTCGTCGGGGCATTGGATGCCAGGCAGGAGATAGGAACCCGATTCCATCTGCAAAGTCAGGAAGGGCTCGGCTGCAAGCTGTCTTGGGCTCTTTTTCGCAGGTCTTGGGGCCTCAGTGCCAGCCTTAGCCGGTATAGCTCGTGGATCTCGAAACACTGGAGCAGATTCTTACATGGTCTGTTCTCAGGCCTAGGTATAGAAATTATAGATATAGGTGAGGGATGGGAAAATCGATAGGCAGCATGAAGCGAAGCCTAGAGGTGGCGCCACGCTGCCCTCGCCTTTGGGACAGTTCTGCGAGACTGCCTGCAGGCTTGGACCAGACTCCAAGACGAATTTCAAATCAGTTTTCAAATGTTGTCCAGTTGTACTGGCTTGATACTTTGTCTTAGGCATTTACAGCACAGCGCGCTTTCACGTTGAGGTTTCTGTCGGGCCTGGCTTGCTTCGTTTCATGTCAGTCATGACATCAATTCCTGTGCTTTGCTTTTCTTAAGCGGTCAATCCTAGTGTTCCGGTCTCATGTGATTGCCATTGTTGCTACTTTGAGGCTTCATTCCCATGTCGTCGCAGATTCTCTAGCGCAGGCGCAGCGTCCTGGCTCATGCTTGCTGCTTAGTATGACGTGCCACGTCTCGTTGTTCTGCGCAGTGGTTCGGCTTTCTCTCTTGCTTTCTGAGCTTGGGGTTGTTTGGTCTCAACCTGTCGCTTTCCGCTGCCCCGTAGCAGTGTCTGAAGCTTCTGCTTCTGCCCGCGGAGCACGGGGGGTACAGCACGGACCAGCCTCATTTGCCTTGCAAGTGCAAGGGTGCTCGCACCCACAGGCAATCAATCAATCTGTTCGTGGAACCGGACTGCCTGTTCTCAACAGTTCGAAAAGGAACCCGACTTCCCAGATGGGACAGTGGCAAGACCCTATATACACTTCGTGGGAGTGGCAAGCTCGAAACCTTCGGTGACCGGGAGGGTTGAATTGAAAAGGTGTCGGCAAATCCTCGCTTACTCTTGAACCGCTGCCGCAAGTCCTACCGCTTACGATCGGGGTTCTGTCGAGCAAAAAGGATTAAAACACCCGAAAAAGGTGAAAGGTTACCTACTGTACTACTAAAGCCTAGCAGGTCAAGTCGGCACCTTTCGGGGCTGACCGGGGATAGATTTGGAGCCGCGCACAAGGGACTGCGGAGAGTGTTAGCGCTTGCGCGTCGAAGCCTTTCCCCTGTGGGAGTCCAAGTCGACCCAGATAATTTTTGATGATCATACATGCACACTTGATCCGTGCTGTCCTATGTATGCTAGTTGCATCGGACTTCCTGAGCACAGTCGTTTTGCACGTGCGCAATGGTTCCGGATCGATCAGCTCGTGGCAAGAAGTCTGGTGCGCGCGGGAGTGGGCAATTTTCTCCGCGCCAACCCGCCTGCCAGAGATGTCCTGTGCCACTTTGAAACTCTGTTCACTACATTAATTAGCCTGTGGCACAGCCAGGGCGCGGCAGGTGGCCGGAAGATTTGACGAAGAATATCCAACAGAAAGCCAACCTGCTGTGAAGAAAGAGAGGTGTGTAAAGTCTGATGTAGCCTCAGCCTCTCAGCGCGGGCATTTGCCAGTTTAAGTTTTGCGCAGATGAAGTTACCGGTCTCGGAACTGCCGGAACCCTGTCCAAGCGAGGAGTAGAAGGCTATGGGGGTGGCGGTTTTCCCTGCAACAGATGGGTGCTTGTCAAAATGATGGTCCCTTTGTGGGTTCTTAGTATAATATAATACGGAACCTAATATTTAGGGTACCGAAACAGGGGCCATAATTTTGACAACTACCCATATGGCAAGAATCGCTGTTCTTGGGTCATATCGGTGCACATGAACGGAAGGCCTGGAGCCTCGGAACGTGACGCGGCAGCGGCTGCCCTTGGCCCGGCACGGACCTCAAGTCGGCGCCGTTTGCCATGGAGGTATCTGAGGGTGTTCATGATGGGTCTCGTAATACTTCAGCTATGATTGTTACGGTTGCGAAATCATTCGGCGATAGTAGTGCCCGACATCAAGAAGAGCGACAGCGCGATTCCCGTGCGCCGGTAGTCCATTCCTGAGCAAAGAATGCATGCTAATGCAATCGGAACCAACTTCTCTGTCATGTCGCGTGACGACAGTCTGCACATCATTCTTGTGAAAAGCTGTTGTGTGGACCCCTGCCCCCCCGCAGCACAATTTCGAGATCCGGAACGCATGTTTTCCAGTTGAATGCATGTGCGTGTGACGCAGCTGTTCACCATGAGCCGTTGCTGATGCAACCATGGCTTTATCGGCAGGCAGCCCTGGCATAGCTGCTTCAGCTTTCCTAGTGCAATGGGAAGCGGTGCGCATGTTCATGTGCGGGTAAGCATTTGTTTCAACTTTAAAAGCAATCCTACGTTCCGAATGCTTTGGCAACCCGGCGTCGCTATGGGCGGCGTGCTCTTCGACAACATTGCATCGTCGTCGGCGGCGCATGGCCGAAATCCCCGATGAGCTGCTCAAAGTCACAATTGATGACTTTTTCCATTTCTTGCAGTGTCAGCTGTGCTTGGAGGCGGGGTCAATGGCGAAATAGAAAGCACACATTCAGTGTAGTGTAGTTTGTTCGCGGTTCAAAGGCCTCGACATGCCTCCACGAAGAGTTGCAGCTTCGGGATCCAAAGGCCGTTGACTTTTGGCCACGTTTCCGAACTTGGGCGCAGCCAAACCTCGGCAAGAAGGAGAAGTGGGTTCCGTTTCATACCGTTCTGGGACCTCACGACTTTTTTGTGGTAACACAGATCCTTCACAACGACGATCTTCCCTGGAACGCTTGGCAACGATTTTTGGCTATGTTTGTCTATCGGGCACACTGCAAGGGTGCACTGTTTCAAGAGGTTCAGCTTCCGAGAATGTTGGAAGAAGAGGACTTTTGGAAAGACCCCGCGGCCCAGTTCGCTGACGACGGTGCGATGACGCTGGCCATGCTCGACTTCCGGCGCCGTACTCGTCAGCCTTTGCAAACAGCCGCGTTTCTGTCGATTCCACAACGCCTATGCCCAGATGATGACGAGAACTTAGCCAGGAATGTGGCCCGGCGCACGCGGACCTTGCTGGAAATTGCCGAGAAAGTTTGGCCCGTAATCCAAGATCATTCGCTCAGCAGCTCGGAAAAGTTCCGCTGCATCTCTGGGACGATTCAGTCGGCTGAGGGTCTGGGAGAAACATGGACCAAGATGCTGATGGTCACGATGGATATCGCTTATCCAGACTTAGAGCTGCTAGCTGAGTCCTGCAACGTGGGCCTCGGAGCTTTCAAGGCCTTCCAACGCCTGGCACCCGACCATAAGAACTCGCCGAGACGCTGCCAGCAGAGCCTTCAGAAGATCACGAACGCGGCGAACAAAGCGACGTCCGATGCCGCCCGAGGCTTCTGGTCTTTGCTGGATCAGGTAGAACTCTTGGCCAGGCGACGCTTTGCTGGATTCCCGTTGATTCTGGCCCAGGTCAGTACTTCCCATGGACAACTCAGCCTTTCAACAGTACAGGTGCAGCTTTGCGAGTGGCGACAGTTTCAGGATTTCTTGGATAAGCACAGTGGGGCGAAGTTTCTGCGAGACGTGTCCGCGAAGCACAGAGGAATCGACGTGCAGCCGGGACAGGCACCAGAGCCGGCCTGCAAGGACCTAGTAGTAGAGTAGGTGACCTAGTCTTTACCACCTGCCTACTCGGTCAGAGGGCCAGTTACCCCCACCCGAGGTGATCACGCAAACGTCCCTCACCTTCATTCGATGTATTTCCTGAACCGTTCTCTCCAGCTTACCCCGTGGCCCAACGAATCCTTAAGATCCTTGTCTACCTTCGGTTTCACGCACGTCCTCCCATCGATCAAAGTACGCCCCACTTTGCTTTCGGGATCTAGAGTCCGACAATTTCTTGAATCCTTGATCGCCCCTCGAGTCAGAGTCCTTAAGATTTCGTATCGTATCCCTCGCGCCCCTCCCCGAACACTTCCAAGCTGTTTCCCACCAGATTTTTGAGCTCTTAATTCGACAGAGTCAGTCTCACGCCTTTCGCTGGGACCGCGCTCATGACGACGTGCTTTAACCTTCTTGGGGTAGTAGAACCCCTATATAACCCCTATATCAAAAAGGTTAACCTTTGGTTTCCCATGATACCCGACAAGTAGGAGGAAGAAGCTCAGCTGGCATCGGACACCCGAAGAAAGCGACCTCGGCTTCGGGTCGCGGAGGCCCAGAACGGCGGCACCGGGGCATCTCCGAGCTCGCAGTCAGAGGACCCGTTCCTGTCTGCAGCCACAGGGCTACTGGAGACGATGAAGCAGGAGATGGCGCAGGCATTGCAAAATTCCCAATGTACCATTTCTTTAAGTCTAGCTGGTGGCATAAGGTCTGCTTGTGCGGGACCCTTCGTGCGCTTTTGTGCCGAGACCCCCTGTCCCTGCAGGTAAACCTTTCCATCAAGCATGCCCAAGAAGACCTGCGAGACTGTGAAGTGAGAAGGGGTGAAGCGGAGGCAAGGCTCTTTACCGCGATGCGAGCGACGAGCGATGCCGAGCTGAACTTGCGAAAGATAAGACCCAACCTGACTATGTGCGCGCTGCTTGCGGAGCACGAGAGGCAAATTTCCGAGGTCGCCGAAGCCGGGGTGGCCAAACTGCAGGCCGTTTGCGATCGGCTTTCTTCGACCAAAGGAGTCCTTCATGTGGCAGCCACAAGCCACCACGCCAGCGCCTACGCTGCACTCCCAGATGTGCCCGCATCCTTGGCCGGCGACCTTGCGCGAGGAGTCGACGCGCGGCTCAACCACACGCGGGAGATCCTCGAAAGCGTCATTCTGCGGCGAGACGCACATTGCCGGAAGGTGCAATCGGAGATCCTGGGGCCCAAAGCCGCTTGGCTCTGCCCGGGTTTCGGGATGAACTGCTTTCGGCTCTGAGATGCAAGGGCGGCTTTCATGAGTGCTCTCTCTGAGGAGGCCTGGGACGCTCGAGAGGCCGGAGGGATTGTTGTGCTCGGGTGTCGATTCATGGCTTGGGGGTATTCAATGTACCCGACATCTCGATGATTTCAATCTCTTCCAGCGAGAACGCTCCTTGCAATGCACAGTGCAGGCATCATTCGTGACGGTGGAAGTCTTAATAAGTTGTGTGAAGCAAGAGACGAACAGACACGGGACACACAACACAAGCGCAGACACGAAGGCTGGAGCCATCAACCAACTCCCAGAACCTGGAGACCTTCTAGCTTCAAGAAATATGACCTCATGCTAGCATACCAATCCGATGCCTTGTGTTTCCACCCACACTCTGCCAATGTGAAGTCTGAGTTTCAGGACGTGGAAGGCGTCGCGAGAATGCACACGAGAGCTATCAATCCATTCAGGCTTCTCGAGAGTGCCAGCGAATGCAGGCACTCTTGCAGTCTGAGCTTGCCACGGCCCGCGCTGCTGAGGCCGATGCTCAGGCGGGCTTTGAATTGAATGGCGTTTGGACGTGCTTCAACTCATCCCACCTCGCATTGAATGCCGTCATCCGATGCCAGACACGGGACCGCAGTTTCCGAATGACGTGCTTCATGATCCCGCAGTTCTACGGGATACTGCTAATCCACACAGGCGTCCTTATCATAAAAAATCCCACCCGCAAAAAGTCGGCTGATGGTACTTGGAAAAGGCTTTCTGGGTGGCGGCTCAGCGGAGCTCCGTGGAAGCCGAGTCACGCCTTCAAGAGCTACAGGGTCGCAGTTTAGGGTTTTAGGGTTTAGGGTTGTATGGTTTAGGGTTTTGGGGTTAAAAAAAATGGTTTAGATCAAGAGGCCTGGATGCAAAAATGGTTTAGGGTGACAATGTCGCCCTGTGTCGCCATGCTGCAGTCGATGGTGAAGATATGATGAAGAGGATGGTGCTAGAGGCGGTGGTGGTGGTGGTCTACCCTGGACCCTCCATGTTCAGAACTTCACAAGTCCCGACGTAGTCAAGAGACATACTATACTATTATGATCCTTGCCACTGTTATTGTAATTTCCTATCATCAATCCTTGTTATCATTTTATGACTAATCAGTATTATTCATGCCGCTCTGACTCTAACATCGTCTTCGGATCCCACGCCGGGCCAAGGCTGCAAGTCCAGCGCTTTCTCGCTCAGGCACCGAACCGGAAAGACCCTGGGATCTCTCGATACCCCTCGTGTTTGCGTTTACGGGAAAGTTCGGTTGCGCAACGAAGGCTGGATTCGCAGTAGCAGTAGCAGTAGTAGCATAGTAGCAGCAGCAGTAGCAGCAGCAGTAGCAGTAGCAGTAGCAGTAGGAGTAGGAGTAGGAGTAGGAGTAGGAGTAGGAGTAGGAGTAGGAGTTGTTGTTGTTGTTGTTGTTGTTGTTGTTGTTGTTGTTGTTGTTGTTGTTGTTGTTGTTGTTGTTGTTGTACTTGCAGATGGGACGAGGATTTCACGAGTTTCCGAAGTATGGGTCTGAAGATGTTACTGTTCCTTGTTGCTTCCTGCACATCAGACTGTTGGAGTCATGGGTTGCACTGCCGAGATGCCCAGACAACGAGCGACTGTTGCATCACCGATGGTATGGTACCAAACCGACAAACGAAACCACGGTGAACGAACTGGGCGACAAACGAGCACCACGGAAAAACTCGTGCAGAGGAAGCCCGCAATGCACGGACAAGAACACTCTTCAGACGAAATGCCATGTGCGTGCTTGAGCTGTCTCGTTGCCTCTCCGCACTCTGTGTGCACTGACAGTCACAGATCCGCGTCGTATGTGTATGGAAATTGGGAGAACATATCTGCATTCTCCAAGAAATAGTTTGGTCCGGTTAAAGCTCGGACTGGGTCCTACATACTACTTTAGTTTATCAATGTGTGCCCACTTCTGGTGAATTTGTTGCTTGTGCATGATCTCACCTGCTTTGACCACCCATTTGCCAATTTCCCTCACCCATCTGCAGAGGCAGCAGTTGGGCTTGTTGTGATGCTATGCTGTGATACCAAAGTTCGCACGGCAGGTAGAGGAGGTCGCGCTGGAGGAACTGATTGGCCATTGAGACTTGAATTCGCAGTGAACGAAAAGTCTGGGAACCCCTGCTCTTCCCATGTTATGGATTCTCTACATGAGCAGCAGCTTGCAAGATGCACCTGCTCCCTCAGGTTGTGAAAGCCCTCCAGCAGGAAGAGCAAGCTGGCGATTCCGTGGGTGGCCAAGTCTGCGCTCGTTGCTAGGCATTTCAGCCATTCGACGTTCCGAGCCCCGACCCCAGAGCGAGAGCAAGGATCGCCCCTTTGCGTCAGGTTCACCGCCCTATAGGCCCCGCGAAAGACATGAACAGAGCGAGCGAGCGAGCGGCGATCAGCCGCAACGGATCCTTCAGGGACGACTCTTACACGCGGACGTCACACTACGCAAACCTCTAACAGAGGGCCTCCCCACATGGAAGAGAATTCCTGCATGCCACAGGGCTCAGGTTTGTGAAATCCTCCAAAAGCTGAGTAGGGATGATCTCGCAGCTGCACTGTTGCAGTATTACATGGTACACGAACGGAAATTTCACGGCCTGCATTGCATGGAAGGATTGTCCATAGGACTTAAAACTCTCTCTCGAAATCTAATGCCCAGAGCTTACCTGGCAACATGGCGGCGGCCTTCGACTTCTGATGAAACAGAAGCTCACCAAGGACGGGTTTCAACAGGTGTTTTGGATCTAGTTTGGTGTCGCGATGCCTCAAACTCCAGCTGTCTTACAGTCGGTGATGACAACTTTCGATTCTTGCGGGAGTGCATGGACGACACACCGCCAACCATGATGTGCTTTGACGTTTCATGTTACAAGTAGCTTCATGTCGCTGCCATATGCTCGAGCTGTACAAAGAAGACCTGCGCATCTGCTGTGTGACCAGCACCAACTCTGAACATGGCTTCCCAGCTGAGCAGAGGGGCCTTCTGCGTGTGATTCCTGACTGGGCGTGCTCGTACCGGGCCCTGACGAGCCAAGGCTCAATATCGTCGAGTTGCTGGACTGCTGCTCTTGGCAGCTGCATTGAAGGGCTGCCTTGCTGACACAAGCCTGGCTTCAAAGCCATTTCTTTTGCAGTGGACCGTGGAGGTTAAGAGCGTGCAACGGCGCAGTTTGTACCTGGGTTGATGCTTCCAAGGCCTTGCCTTTCTGAGCCCTCCAGCGGTGACGGATGTATCCCAGCCGATGATTCAGATACCGCAGCTTCTCCTTGCCGAGATTGACATGACGAAGCCCTATGAGCCCCTTTGCAGAAGGGAAGGGTTTAGATTCAGATGTGAAAAACCTTGCATGGCTTAACAATGTCACTTGCTGTGAGGCCTACAGAGGAGCCAGAGAGCCCAGCGAACTCTATGTTTGCCATCACCTTTGTCTTCGTGATTTTTGCCTTTGTTGTGCCAATTCTGCTCTTGGGCATGAAGAGCCAGAACACCGATATTGCAGGTGCTGATGTTCCCTGGCTGGCACGGAAGTAAGTATGTATCCATATGTGTATATCTGCACATGTACGTAACTGTATGTAGGTATGTATGTGTACACACATACACCGCCATGTTTCTCGGCCCCGAGGAGCGTGGGAGGCGGCAGCAGTGAGGAAGTAGAAAGGTGGCACACTGCTTCTCAGCGCGTGCTCAAGCCACACCTTTGATGTGGACGGCTTCGCGCTCACGATGTCAGACTTTGCCTTAGAAGCTGAAGAAGCTGCGGCCGATATTCTGCCATTTCTAGGCTGTTCCATTGGCTTCAGAAAGTGCGATAGGCGGCAAAACAGTCTTGGAGCTTGACAGCGGCAGCAACAGTGAGTAGTACCGCTGCTACACGACGAAGCAGATGATCCACGGAAAGCGACAGGACCTCCTGAAGAACCTCTGTGCTGAGCTACAGCCACGTAGCTGCAGGTAGTCAGCGAAGGTGCAAGGTAGGTTGAAGATATTAGCCCCTGGGGAGCTTGGGACTTCAATTCCAAGATGCTCTCACTTGTCCAGCACCTGAGGAAAGATGAGTTCGTTCCTTGACTTGCAACCAGTGTAAGAAAGAACATTGGCCCATCCCGCCCTTCCCGTTCTCATGTGGGTCGGGAGAGGCGGGAACCTTGATCAAGAAGCTGGTGGGCGAGCATTGGCTGGAGAAGGCAGGCAGAATTGAAGCCCAACTCCTCTCCAAGGTCAGTCTAGTATTTGTCCTCATCCTTATCGTATCGTGCCATCCGAGCGTATACTTTCATCACCATGGCCATCGTCTTCAGCACCACTGCTAGCTCCTGCATCATTACTGCCCGAACCGACCTCTTAGCCTTCACCTTCGTTACCATCATCAGCATGAGTGCTGGTGTAGTTGTTTTGCTTCGTGTTCATCATGCCATGCCGAGGTAGTCAGAGTCAGCGGATGATGGCCAAGAAATGGCAATCATTCTAGAAGATTGCTTGCGACAACGCTGTTCCTTCCGTGTGAAGCGAGCAGCCAAAAAATGGGAGGTCGATGACTTGCGGTACGTCCCGTCCACGCGACTAGAGGGCTGGGGCGTCCCGCTGAAGCTGACGCTTGTCGATGGTTCCTTAAACGATCCGGAACACCGAGCGGTTACAGCTGGAAAAACAAGTGTGGAGGTAGACAGTACTCTTATGAGCCATATTAACTCTAGTCCAGAATTGAAGCTCTTGACTGATGGCCGGACTGCAAAGTGTTCTCGAGATCACTGTGCGCTCCACAAGCATGACCAGATGTCCCGACGTAATGAATTGGGCTAGCAACTTCTCTCGGAAGCTAGGCTGGAACACTCCAGGCAGCGCCGTCGCCTGTCACGGGTGATTCTCTTTGAGAGCCAGTAACCACGCGAATGTCTCAGCAGTACTTTACAAGCCCTATACCCTACCAGCCCTACCCTGCACATGCCCCAGCTGGACGAGCAGTACTGTAGCATGATCGTCAAGTTTGCAACTGTGTGCCGGAACACACCCCGTTCGTTGCCTTTATTGTCGGATCAAACACTAACCCACTATGATTTATTATGTTGACATTCATGCGGTAGCGGCGGCCTTGCGACCAAGGATAGACGAGATATATGATTTCTTGGCGGAGAACGTATCCTGGCCGGCTCCGCCATAATCAGAATGCATGGCGCCACTGCCAAACACGACTTCCGCAGATGTATCAGACACTCCATCCATGTCTGCCCAAGGATGCCGACGAAGGTGCCCACAGCCCCGCGGTTGCGAGTATTCGTCAGGGAGACACTTGCAGGGACCCTGACGGACCGTGGAGTTCTGTGGATCCGAGATGTGAATGCCTACGTCAACTACACTCTTCGCCCGGCCGTGCAGGGCTTCACGCCTGCGATTTCGTGTCTTGGCTAGAGATGCAACGAAGACTCAGCATGGGAGTGGTACTGTTCGTGGAGAGCGACTGATGCCAAAGTGAGGTTCGCAAAATTACGCGACGATGCCGAAAAGCCCCCTGCTTAGAAAGGTTCAGCATTCCTACACGAAGCGATCCGCTAGGGTGGACGGGTCGGGCTACTTAGGCTAGAGGCAGCGAGACTTTGAGGCTCCTTGAAGTTGAGAGTCTCGCATGGAAGCTCGGAAGCGCCCAGGCGTCGACATCCCAAGACCTGGGCAGCCAGACGGCTGCAACACTGGTTTCGGAATCGGCACTCTTGATGCAAGAAGAGAATAGTTGATTCATAAGACTGCTGAAATGTAGCGACACTTCATATCAACTGCAGCCGGAGGCAGAAGCAGCGGGCCAGGCACAGATCTTCAAATCAGCAGCGATGCCCCAGCATTGTGCGAATTTGGCCTTTCTCAGGCGGCCGCTTGTGACAGCAGTAACCTCGGCGGTCCGCAAGCGACCAGTGTTGTGGAAGATATTGCAGTTGGTGCATGCGTTTCGATCAGGATGATCAGGTTCTTTCGTGGGTCGAGGACGGAGTGGGAGGTGGGATTGAACGGAGAGCCGTCGCCAGCGTCCCAGTGCCGCAGGATGGCGATTTTTTCAAGCCGGACTCGGGCAAGTCGAAGGATGTTCGAGTCGTGGTGCTGGTGCAAGGGTGCAAGCTGGGACTAAGTTGAATCTGAAGTTTTACATGCAGGAGTTGCGCGAAAAGAGAGCCAAAGAATCTCTCAAGAAAGGTGTCGCCAGGCGGGGGGTCGAGTGCTGGGCCACGGCAAGCGGCGCTGCAGCGAGAGAGGTGGCGGGAGCGCAAAGCTCGTGAGAAGGCTCAGGGAGTTCAAGGCCAGCAGCACAACAGCCCACGAAAGTTCTTGCCTTCATACACATGCTTGGTAGCATTCGATTGGTTCACATGTCCAGGTCCTCAAACTCGTCCGGCACCTGCCGACCCATTCTTGGCCAAGATCGCTGCCACGAGTTGGGGTCCCATGGACACACAAAGGTCTTGCAAAGAATCATGCGCCAACAATTTGCTGCCAGCATTCCAAAGCACGGATTAATCAAGCGAGTTTCGGGATGGGCAGTCTATTGGGTCGAATTCGGAGTCGTGTGCTGGCGGGGGGGGGGGGGGGGGGGGCCAGGACGGCCAAAAAATTGGCATGTCATGAACCTCAGGCCCCAACACCATTCCAGCTTTCCTTGCGCAGCGAGCCGCCACAGCCCTGGCATCCAGTTGCAAGACATCAAACCAGTGTTGTCATGATGAGAAGGCTGCACAACCACGGAAATGCGAAGTTTCCGAGCTTTTCAGTGAGCTGCTTTGCTGCATTGCTGCAATACTAATTGTTTTCGTGCTAGTTTTCGATTTGGAATGGCATTTACACAACTTACGCAGGTTTGGCAAGACGCTGAACCAATCGGATGTCTCTTGATTGCAACCTCATGCATGATGGATTGGTTGAGATTTGGTTCGCTGCTCCCACAGCATTTATGGCTCATTGGTTCAGGAGGAGTTGCGGCCCTACGTCCACAGGCTGGGTTTGGGAAGAACCACGTGCTGTCTTGTGGGTCCGTGTGGAAGGCTTGTCACCATCAACTGGCTGGAAGAGAAGGCAGGTGAGTATGACAGTATGATGAACGATGATGCAGAATCAAAGGGCAACCCTGCGGCTTGCGGACAGGAGGATTTGTCTTTGGTGGAAGATCGCCACTGGGAAGCTTGGGCTATCCCGGAGAAGCTGGTCAGCGGCTCAAGCTACCCCGTTGAGAAAAGGTGTAAGCGATGCTGTTCAGGAGGTTGTGCGAGTGCGAGTGCATCATCCATGCTCCAGTAAAGGTCTTACAGTGTTCAACGGCCCAGTGGGTCCCTTTCCCCTTGTTGAGACCTTGTCCCAGCATAAGACCATTCACTTCTCGCAGAGTCCAACAACTTCGAAGTTCGGAGACTCAAAAACCCAGGGTTCGCGGGATGCCGAGGTCGTTCTGGCCAAGCAGGAGGCTGTCTAGAACACCGAGAAGGATGTAGCTTCGGGAGTTTGGGTGTCGCACTCCAGCTTAGGATATTCAGGATTGTGCGATTTCGCTGCTAGCGGAGCTAGATCAACGATAGCCTGCCAGGCCGAGAAGACAGGCAGGATGCTCAGATTGGGCTCGATCAATCGTGCTTTAAAGTTTGGCGGCATGGTTTTTGCCTCTTTCAGGTCCACCCAAAAAGACCTTCCGAAGAGATTGCCAATGCATTCTGCTGTGAAAGTGGTTTGCTCGTGGCTGAGCATCAAGGAACATGCTTGTTCTTTCCAGCCGCTTGTTTTCCAAGCAAAGGCGTTTCACTCCAAAAGGTGAGAGCTGGACCCCAATGAAAAGCGATTGCCCAATGCTCGCATGTCCGAACTATAGATGACCCAGTTGTAACTCTGCACAGCGTCGAACATGAACAGTTGAGAATTGCGTGTGTAAGCATGGTCCCTCACCTGCTCAGGAAGTATGATGCGAGCATAATCTCCTCTAGGGCACCATCGAGTCAATGTGTTGCCCGGGCCTAGGACGAAGGGGCTGAGGCCGAGTCCCAGACACAGCACAGCCCTCGGTTGGCTTGTACCACTTGTTGTACAGAAGTTGTACAAGCCTTACATGAGGGACTTTTGGCAAAGGCACCGTTTGGCGGTGAGCTTGCCTGACCCAGAAACTGCACGGTGGCTTGGCACTTTCAGATGTTGCCTGTGTGATTACAAGAGCTCCATCCACTTGCTGTACCACCAGGGCCCAGGCCTTCAGCGCAGAGCCAGTTTTGCTGCCCTTCGATAAGTAGGACTGCGTATTAAGGTAGTGAGACCTGGGCTTACCTGCCGCTTATCATTCCTGCACAGATCCATGCGGAGGCGGCTAGTCCCCTTTTTTTGGAAGCGAGCGGCTGGCACACCAAGTGCTTCAGTCGTGGTCGCCAGACCCCGGAAAGGATGCTTCCGTTCGATCTGAGGCAAAGTTCCGTGGCACCTTCCTCAGGCAAGTGAAGGTCTTTTGGGCAACCTTGTTTTGGTCAGGAACGCTTCAATCTCGTAAGTGTGACAGCTGCGAAGCGAAGCTCGAGAGCGAATGCTGTCGTATCTGGTGTCCGAGCTCGCTTTTGCAAGATTATCCCATGGGCACGTGGGATTTTTGCAATTGGGACCAAGGTTAAGCTACACAAACTCCTTGGAGCGGAAGAGCTTGCCGTGACCTCGGACGGCATGCCATCAGCCACACTTAGATTCTTAGATCTGCCATGATCTAGCAATGCACTACAGAACCTCATACTTGTACCCGTTGTCATGCGGTGTCATGGCACTGTTCCTCCGTTTCGAGCTTCGCCGGCCCAAGGATCTTGTGAAGCTCCTGAGCGGCCAACTTCGCTCAACGTTGGAGCCCAAAGCGGCGACATCGGGCCAGCCCACGCCCCAGAGTGCATTGTGTTCGGACATCTCAGGACCCAGGGCATCGAGGTACACTGCCGCGAGCTTTGTCATTAAATGGCAACACCTGAAGCCCCCATGAGCTCACGCACGAAGGTGGCGCACTTGCTACTTGCAACAGGATGGCGACGCTCCCAGATCGAATCGGTAAACTGAAGTCGGTTTCCGTTAGGTAGAGTGAGCTGCTCAGTTGAGTGTGTTGGCTAGTTCGGAACCCTGTTAGAGACAGGGATTTTACCAAGCTTTTCGCATAATCAGGCAGGTCCTGGCTGTTACTGATAGCACCTAGCATTGGATGAACACCAAACCCGCTTAAGTCCAGGCAATCCATGAACTTGTGATGCAGACTGAGGCTTTGCCAGGCAGAAATTAGCCTGGACCTGAATGACTTCGAGATACTTCGAGCAGGTATCAAGCGAATCATAAACGAGGCAAGATGGCAGTGCGGAGTTTGTCACCGCCGGTTGGAACGGGGGTGGATCAGTTCACAGAGCCTTGGCCGTTTTGGCCGATAGCACCACAAACAACCGACGCATGCAAGTTGCCTGCAGCCCACACTGTACATGTTCTACCGATGATGTCACCAGAAAGACATTGCGCGACCACGCACCCGCTTGATAATCCGAATGTAGTACGATGCAGTATAATTACTCGTCATTTCGCAGTTTAGCAAAACAGCATGTGGTTCGCGTGGTAAATTATTATAGGGAGTACTAACCTCCGGCCTTGGCTGATTGAGGCTCCTATTTTGGATAAGCTCGCCGACGCAGCAGCAAAGCTCTCAGGTCAGAGTTCTTGACTTTGAGTGCCCCCTCTACAATAGTTGGATAAGATTCATAATAGACTCACAGGTATGTGTGTGTGTATATATATATAGATAGCCCTTATTATGTCCCCCGCTATCAGTACCCAATTTTGACCACTCAGACGAGCGAAGGTCCGGCAAGGTCCCGCCTCGTGGCGTCCTTGCGAGCAAGATGCACGCTTGCTCGTGCCTCGGCTCCCTCGGATGCGTTGCAGTCCATGTGGGAGTTTCCGAAAACAGGGGCCCCTGATCTAGGAGTTCGGTTTCAGGTTCCAAGACTACATACAGTGTTTGAACCCCCCCCCACAGCCTTACGGTAAAACCTTACTCCGAAGGCCTACCCCTACAAGAAACGCAAACCCACAAGCCGTAACTCCAGTTTGCACAAAGCTTGTTTAGATTCTCTCGATAAAGAAATGGATGCTTTCATATCACCAGCCTTATCTAGAATTTCCGCCCATCCGAAAGTCTCTGCAACATCATGGGTTGCGTTTTCCCTTTTAGTCTTGTGGCGACATTGAGGCTTCGGCCACGTTGTGCCTGAATCTCAATCTGCCAGTGATAGCAGCCGATGATACTGCTCTCCAATAGTGGCAAGTCCGGCTGAGAATCCTCCTGGTAGGCATATAGGAAGGTATGGCACATGTTCGCAATACATCCAGGTGGAGCATCACCTCGTTTCACCGGGAGGTGCCCTCCCGGCACGGCACTTACCGACCTCTCCTGGTTGCGCGATGTGAGCCTTGATTGTGTTCTTAGGACCCGACACACTTTGACGGTGGTTCCCTTTTCACGATCGTGTGAGCCACGGTTTCCTATGAAAGCGCCCAATTCTTGTCCTTCCATGGCGAGCTGAGGATGTCATGCTTTGTACTCCCGGCATCGACTTCCAAGGTGCCTGTAGCGAAAGCAGATTCAGTAGATTTTCCGTTCTGAAGACCAGGTGGAGACTTCTGCACGATGGAACGTCCCGGGCTCAACGAGCATGTCCGACCTTGATATACAAGAGCCACTAAGATTCCGTGTTCTTGACAGCTAGTAGCTATATGGCAGTAAGCTGCCGTGAAGTTCAACATTCGGAACCTCCGGAATGAGCTCGGATCATCTTGGATTTCGGAGGCGACGGCCAACTGCAGAAGCATTCTTTCGACAAGGGGGATGCCCTGATATTTCTGTCGCAGGGCACCCATGGGCAGATTCAATGCCAAATGAACATATGTGTCGTTGTTCCAATCGCGGCAGAGGCACAAAGCCCACTGCGTCCAGCCAGTGACAGAGGGCCTGCGACAGACTTTGGTGATTGAGCTGTGGGAAGGCCTTGCCGGCTTGTTGACAAAAGAGTGACCCGGAACATGCCCTTGAGATGAAGCAGATCGCAGGTGAGGAGCGCAGTTGGCGCCTCGGCAATTTGAATGCCGGCCCATGCCTGCCCGTTCAGATCCGCTTAAGTTCGAGATGTTGTAATGTTCCGCAAGTCTGCCATGTCATGTCCCCAGGTTGCAACCACCGCTGTCACCAGCGATCGGGGCCCTGCGAGGGCTTCGAAGGCTTGCCTTTGCTGCTTGATCCCATTCCACTTCATTGCCTGACATGCCAGGAGATGGGGCCGACGAGAGCTTGAAGGCAGAAGACAAGCGGCCCTACATCCCTATACTACCATACTACCATACTACCATACCATACCATATCCCCAAAGTTTCCAGAACTGCACAATGCCGTACACCCCGGGAAAGCACCGCTACTTCGATTTTGCTGACAGGCGGACCAGATCGCCGAAGAGGGCCCGAGCATCTTCGTGCATCTCTCAAGTACTCCTTTGTTGGCCGGATCCACGAATCGTTTCAGACGTCACACCCTGCGAGTATGGGATCAGAACCTGCTATTTGGTGGGTTTTTCGAGCTCGAGGAAACGTTGCAGCCGTTGGCACCCAGGCCACGACTGCCTTTGAAGGCATCGCGTTCTTCCCCAAAGTCCCTTGGCTCAGTTTGTGAGGGCGAAGAGCAACTGTGATGCCGGGTTCTTGTTCTGCCAAGGTAGCGCAGCTCCTCTCCCAGGGGGCACGGCCAGGGCAGAACGCCAATGTCGAGGCTGCAGTGGGCATTTTGTCTCAAGGAGTGCAGAGATGTTGCGCAGCTAGGTTTGGGGTTCAGGTCTTGTTCGAAGACACGAGTCCGGTGGCAGCTGTGCGCGCCAAGTCCGCACCCCGACATTGCTCTCACAATACTCTCACATACAGTTTCGTGCTCCTGATATTTGCAGGCGGAAGTTGCAAAGCGGCGAAACTTTAGCAACTCACCTGGATGCTGTGGACGATGCGGACATAATGCTTTCAAGCAGCGCTTCGGACTCGTAGCCGCGGCCGTGCAGAAACGAAGAACGGCGGAGCTGTGTTCCATGCATCAGCCAGCACAACGCCCTGCAAGACGGGCGCTGGGGGGTTAGTCTTCGCAACTTTGCATCGCCTGCAAATCTCAGGTGTAGCTTCTTGCACACACGTCCACAACCACAGGAAGGATACGCAACGGCATCCACCAGCAGCTACAGCTGCCAAGCAACACCACAACGAGATGTGAAGCATCAAGCTCCAGCTCTGCGAGTCTTTGCGATGCAATGCCTCTCGTGTCCGCCCTCTGGCAGACTTCGGAAGTCCAGGCCCGTGTGTGATTCGTGGCTCCAGGCTCCAGGTGTGCAAAACAAAATAAAAGCTCCGTGTATCGACCTATCGTTTGTCATTCAGGTCGTCACGATAGAAAGCCAGCTTCACCTGCTTTCTAGGAGACATTCAGCGCGACCGAAGGCGGCGGCTACGTCAACTCCTCGGATATGCTTGGATCGCCTCATCCACAAGCCCACCAGGAATCCGCACTCATTTCCGCTCGCCTTTTGGCCCAAAGTTGGTGGAGGTTGCAGACGGTGCGCGCGCCCGTCGCATGAACATGGTATGGGCATTTTGGGGCCTTCAAGCTTGGATCCTTTATGTAGCGTCTGGTGAGGAAGCGGAAGGGCGAAACTTGCAAATGGTCGTTCCAAATTGCAGACCTGGCTATCGAGATGTCTCCGATGGTCAAGCCTACCCTTGGTCTTGCGCCTTCCACTGTCCAGGCGGTGCCTTCGCAACGGCAACCTGTCAATGCGCCTGTCTCAACGATGAGCAGATTGAGAGGTACGAAGAGCAGGGGATCGAGATCAAATCGGGCAACGTTACGGGACAAGCCGAGAGGCCCACCACTGAGATCTTGGTGCCTCAGCCACCGGATCCCACTTTGGCCCCATCGGATCCTGTGCAAGAGATGCCCATGGGCGGTTTGGAGTCTCGCGAAAGAATCACTCCACCTAGCTCCTTCCTAGCACCAGGGTCTCCAACTCTGAGTAAGGGCCCGAGCCACCTGGGTGACCCAGAAGAAGCCGGAGATGGAACGGTAGGAACCGTTTTTGCTGTGATTGGAGGTGTGGTTTTTGTGGGCGCCGCGATGGTGATGGTCGGAACGGCCTTCCAGCACGCATGCTTCCGAGCCATAGAGGAGCCAGGCCAGACAGCACCCAAGGGTCCGAAGGGTCCCAACCCAAGGCCACAGGTGCCGAGGCCCATGCCTCTGGATATGAAGACCCCAACCCCTCCTACCTCCCGACCCATCGCGATGTGGAGCCTAGATGAAGCCACGAAGGAAGCTCCAAACATGGCCGATCGGTGGAAGCACTTGAAATCGCAGCGTGTGCTGCCTAGAGACAGCAGGTCCACTTCTGCCGAGACTCCCCCACGGCAGAGCTCCGTCTTGGAGCAGCCCAGAGAGCCTACAGATATTCCCAAACCGACGGCGACATGACAGATTTTCCAAGCAACTTGTGGTGGCTGCTGTTGTCACGGTCAGGGTGCTGTTGTAGGAATTTTAAGGGCCAGAGGCCACAGAAATCTGTTAGACAGTGCTGGCGGCCCGGTCTCAGAGGGCGCAGTTTAGGAGTCTCCATCGTTCGGATCACTTCCTCATCTTCCACCAGCTGGAACAGTGTTTACAGTTTCACCTCTGTGTAGACAAGTTACACGCCGATTTAGTTTCAACATTCGGCAGGCATCTGAGGAGGATCTCTCAGTGCTTGCCTGAATGCAGCTTCGCAAGCTCTAGAGCTTGCAGCTATGGCAAGGACCACGGCTGAAGTCGGCCATGTTGCCAGAATCCTCTTTCAGTCTGCTGTACCGAATAAGGCTGCTTGTGGTGAAGCAGTTGCGTTGCTGGTCCATGCTTTACTGCTCGCATATCGAGGCGGAGGAACGCCACGACATCTCCAGAGTATCCGCGCTGCGATGTAGTTTCGGACTAAGCTCTTTCACATGTGAAGGCACTCGATACCGACACCTTTTGCCCGAGGTGTCTTGCCCAGTGCTGCCGCGAAGGCCCCAGCTTGCCTATCACACGCCTAAACCCTAAACTCCAAACCATGAGCCCTAAACTCTAAACTCCAAACCATAAACTCCAAACCCTAAACCCCAAATCAAAAACCCTAAACTCAATACTGAGGCAGTGGCCCTTCAGACCGACAGTTTCCAGGCCTTCCTTCAGGCTGGGCTCATGCGCAGAGACACCTTGCACTTCACATCCCAAAGTTGAGTGAGAGTTTCCGAAAATTAGGGGTATTTTTTGGGGGGTCCTTGTAATAAGTTTTCTAAGGATCCTACTATTTAGGGTACTATAAAGGTACCCTATTTTCGAAAACTCCCAAGCTTGGGGGATACAGAGTACTGCAAAGGGCATAGATGATTGCAGATGCTCTTTGACATGTCTCTTGTGGTATGCAGTATACATATCTTCATGTCCCAGGCAGTTTCAGACTTTCTGAAGCGAGGCGGTTCCACGACATCGCTTCCCTCGCCAGCGTCGCTGTCGACGTGTTTGGGCCGGTAAGAAAAGCAACCTGGCTCTCATAGCGCAGTAGCTCATTCCGTAGGTCCGTATCAACTGTGGGGTTCGTGACATGCGTCATGTATGCGTCGGGACCATGAATTAGGAGCGCTGGGCTGATGGTAGGTTTTTCTTGGGTTGTGTGCGGTTTTCGGACTGCCGCCATCCTGTGCTTGCAATTTGCAGGTGAACGCTTCAAGGTGAGCGGCCCATCTACAATCCAGACCCTGTGTGGCGAGCTTTGTGGGCGCAAGGCCCCGGGAATCCGAAGCATCTTGCGGTTTAGGGTTTAGGGTTGTTCGAAGCATCTTAAGCCGAAGACCCTTGCAGCTTTCTATCGCAATTGGGCTTACCTGCATTTCTTGTGCTTGTAGAAGCAAGAGGCTCGAAGCTGACGTTCCACACTGTCGTACCAGGTCGCTTTGATTCTTTGTGGCGAGGCTCATGAGGACTTGCGACAAGTCTTGCTTCCGGCAGCTACGGTAGTCCTTTTACTATCACCTGCGTCATTGTCGAAGACCTGAACGGTTAGTCTCATCACTCCCATGTGCCCTTGTTTGCAGGACGCCCTGGACCTTACCCGGACAGGCAGTGTCATCGCAGCAAAAATGGGCCCTGCGCCTGGAAGGTCCTTGAGATTTGCGCTCTCTATCCATATGTTTAGCAAGACCAGTTCTGCCAAAACCGGCAAGGAAGCTGCCTATCATCATGGATCATGAAACATCACCAGGTTCATCACCATGAAAAATCTATAGACCATTACTTGACATACAGTTTGAATCCCCAATGTCACTGTCAAGACGATCATGTTAATCAAGAAACTGGCGCTGAGTGTTGCTTGCACCCTGCCGAATGGTGCTTAACACCCGAATCGGCTTCGGTGGTTCTTGCACAGACACGAGAGTTGATTTCGACACTCCCCAGGGCCCTTCTTAGGAACACAACCGTAAGCCTTAAACTCCGAACCCTGCAACCCCTGACTTGAGAGGGCTTTCGCACTTCTCCTTGCCATGTTCTTCATGGGTCCCAGGGTTTTTTTTAAGCGCAGCCTCGCGACTGGATGCTTTATGGCATTCATCTCATGGTCATGGGTCAGAGGTTGAAATAAATGAATGTGATGGAGGGCAATACAATAGAAGAGTATATTCATGCATCGTGTATTTATTTGCCTGTGGAAATGATGATGATAGTAGTAACAATAACTGTAGTAACAATGATGCGATTACTGATAAGACTAATCTAAATTAAATGCCAATAGTAAGGACATTGCAGCAGTAGTAATCATAATCGAAAAAGCAAACACATACTATCGCAAAGGTTCGCTTCAATGCGGCTAGCATGGTCTCAAGCTTCATCGGTGTGATAGCAGTGAGAAGATGGTGCGCTAACTCAGCTTGGCATTGAATCCATCTTGCTCGCATTGCCTTTATTAAATGTTGTACTTGTTTTCGAGACAGGCTTACAGTCCAAGCCTCTTCAAAGTTCTGGTGGGTTTAAGCAGCTTTTGGCTGCAGCTGTGAACCTTCGCTCCCTTCTGTGGGATCCCGAAGACGCAACTCAGCGCCTGGAAGCCCGACGATCCCGAGAGAAGAAGCCAACCATGACTATTACATAGCAACACCATGCTGACAGCCTAAGCCCTAAGTGGAAGACCGTTTTCCGGATCATGCAGATGCAAAAGGGACGTCGCCCCCAAAAGCAAAGCACTCTTCCTTGAGAGGGGGGGTGATAATGTGCGGCTGCTGTTACTCCCGAGGCTGGGTTCCCATGGATCCGCTGGAGCTCCCTCGCGCGGTGGATGTTGCCGCGGCGGCGCTACAGCACCGGGGCACCTTGAAAAGTGCCCGGACCTGGGCCGAACAGGCACTGGCTCGTGCCCTGCCTCGAAGGTTTGTAGAGTGACATTCTATTACAATCTGGTTCATACCGACTTATGTTCCAGCGGTAGAATTATTAGTGGGTTTGCTACTGCCATTGCTGTTGTTGTGGCCATTACGATGGCCGGCACAGCTACTTCATTGCTTTTCTTCTGTTTTTTGGCTGTGTTTTCAGGTGACACGATGACAAGCTTTCATTGCTCTCCGCAACTTCATACAATGTTTATTCAGTGTTGTCATCGCCTTGTTGGCATATAGATCGGCGCTCTTTTTCCATATGCACTATATCACGAGCGCTGTTACCTGCTGCGGGGTTTGGGTGGATATGGGTCTGCAAGTCGAGACTCCTGCAGCCCTCATACAACCAGGATCTGTACTGCGGGGTTGGGTGTATTTTAAGACTGCTCGGCAATGCAACATGTGCAAAAAGGCCTGTCAGAGAATATTACAAAATTAGGGTCTAAGGTGAGTGGTCCTCGTTGAGGGGCTTGGGGAGAGGATGTTAGGAAGAAGATAAGGCTCGCAAAACAAGTTGAAGCCAGCTGAAACAATCTGAATGCCAGCCAGAATATGGGAGATACCGAAAATAGGGGGCCCTAACATAGTACCCGAAATAGTGGGATCCTTGTTTTACGGACCCCAAAATAAGGTACACCTTGAAGTTGTTTTTATTGGTGATGGTGCTGGTGCACTGGTAGTGGTGGTGCTGGCGCTGGTGCTGTTGCTGCGTTTGTTGTTGCTGTCAACCTTATCGTTGTTTGTTGTTGCTTGCTCCTGCTTATTATTGCGTTTGTTATAGTTGTGGATTGTGTTATTGTTCTTGTGGTTGTTGTCGGTGTATGGTGCTCATGACTCATGCTCGTTGCTGGTGGTGTGCACTGGGTGTTGGTGTCGGTGTTCCTGTTGTTGCTGCTGCCGCTGTCGTAGTTGCCCTCGTTGTGGTGACGGCTGCTTTACTTATTGTTGTTCATGGTTGTTCACGCTGCTGTGGTTGTGGTTGTGTTTGTTGTTGCTGTTGCTATTGTCGTTCTTGTCGTCGTCGCTGTTGCTCATGCTCCTTTGCTCTTGCTTCTTTAATAGACCCCAATAGACCCTAACAGCAAAGTCTATGCACTGCTCGCGACAGCGATGAGCTCGGATTGTGCGATTGCAAGGGTTTCGATCAGGTTCGATCAAAAGCTTACATCAATCGCACGCTTGATTTATGGATTTCGCGGCTGTTCTTACACATCGTTTTTCGATCCAATTTCACAGGAAGCAAGCGCCGGCTCTGCGCTGCCACAGGCGCGGCGCGCTTCGGACGCCGCCAAGACGCACGGAGTTCTGGCGTCGTCCACCCCGCAGTGAGAGGCGGCTGCTGGAGCTGGCGCATGGCGAGAACTGGCGAGATGGCGAGGTGGTTTGGGTTTGGATCATTCAACGTTGAAGGTCATTCTTTTAACACGAGTCAGGTGCTTTCGCGATTGTGTTTATCGTGGATCATGTTGCGTGGTGTGAGGAGATTTCACAATCCGCATGCTTCAGCTGGGGCATCTTTCGCGGCGTTCTGGAGCCGTTCCTGATTTAGCAGGGCACCGGCCGGCGGGAAGTGCGACCGGCGTGGTTAGATATACGTTGAATTCATCGTCACGCGTCCCGACCGCTTAAGGCACCCACTTCCGAATACTGCCGGCCGCTTACACATTGCACGCCGAATCGCGTCACATCACGCCTGGTTGACGTCCGCGCATGTGCTGTGGGTGGCAGAGCTGGGCTCAGATTGCCACAGCATCAACATTTTTTTTATGTTATAGGTTGTTTTCGCGATTGCTCTGGCACGTCGTTTTACCGATTAAGTTTCACATCATTTGCGTTCGTTTGAGCAAGGGCCGGCTTTGGACATGCCGCATGCGCAGCACACTTCGGACGCACGGAGTTCTGGCGTTCTCCACTCCTCACAGAGAGGCGGCTGCTGGAGCTGGCGCATGGCGAGTTGCTTTTGCTTTTTGTTCATTTCCGTGACGAGCAATCGGAGGCCCCAGGAAAATCGAGGCAGTGAAGCATCGGCAAGCTCGGCAGAAAGACGTCCACCTATTCGGCAGGCGCCTTCAAAAATCGCCCTCGCGAAATTGCATGACATTGCCACAGTCACAGCATCTTGCACTGCGACTGCGCCAGCCAAGTTCATGCTTTGTTTCAGTGTTTTGGGTTAGGCTTCTCTTTTTGCTCCCGCATAGTTTGCACGTAATGGGTCTCAGTGGCATGTCTTCGCGTATGTCTTCCAGTCTTCCTGCCGTTTTGCTGCTGCGCACGCTGAGCTCTGCACCGGGTCCCAACATTGACTGCACAACCCGCACGTCCAAGAGTCTGCGAAATAAGCGTCGGAAGAACATGACCGCGCCTGCACAAAGCAAGCTCTCAAGAAGCGGCCCAAGACCGCATTTTTTGGACTCGTGAGTCACGCGGGCTGACTTTTCCGACTGAGGCAGCGGTCATGAGTCAGCGCACCCTGGACGTACCACAGCACGGCAAAGTGTCTCGGACTTTCAACAGATTTGATTTCCTCGTTTTCAACATGGTTCGATTGTTTTTTGGGTTGTCCGTTTCCTGGATGATCCTCTTAAGCTGGGGCATGCTTCGGGCGCCGGGTCGCACGGCGTCCCCGCATCGTGCACCCCGCGCCAGAAATGCTGCGGCTGGAGCTGGCACACTGTGAGTAACCGGCACTGGATTGCCATAGGAAGCGCTGAAGTGCTTTGACTTGCGACCTCGGCTTCCGACGTGGACTGGAAGTTTTCGGCGCCTCTCGATTTTTTAAACGCGATTGTGACGCATTGTTGTATATTGTAGCTTCTGCCTTTTGTTTGTTGTTGTTTGCCGTTCTTGGTGGTCGGTGGTTGGCATCAGAAGTAGTTAGTGGGCTTGGTTGTAGTTGTGGTGGTTTTTGTTGTCGTTGTTGTTGCTGTTGTTGGTGGCAGGACGACGTGCGTCTGCCGCCGCGGAGGGTGGAACGATTTCGGGGCTGGCATGTGCTAATACCCGAGCTTTGTCACATTGTTGTTTGGGACATAATCCTGGGTTGTTTTGCCCTTGGTTTTTGCTGTGTTTTCTTCAAGAAACATGTTCCATTTCGGGGCTGCATTGTGCGCAAAAAATCTGTGCTGTCCATTTCGCATCGGTTTTTGCGATGTTTCCTACGTGCTGTGCACCTCGCATCGAATTTTTGCTGTGTTTTCCTACCATGTCCGGCCGAACCTCGACTTTTTGCATATGCCAGTTTGAACTTCCATGTGTATTTGACTTCCGTGCAAAGGGAAGGGGGGGCCGGGCGGGTGGGGTGATGATGTTCATGCCAACGTGGCTGTTTCTCTTTCTGTTCTGTTCGTTGGTGGGGAGTGGGGGAATGGGGGTGGGCTGATGACGCTCCTGCGAATGCGGTTTCTGTGTAGTCTTTGTCTTGTTGTTTTGTGCATTGATGGGGAGGCGGGGATGTTTGGGTTGGTGACGTCCACACGAATGCGACTGTGTTTCTGTTGTTGCTCGAGTGCGGCTTATATAATCCTTTTCAGTACTGTTCCCGGCCCTGCTGCTACGGATGTAGCCAAGGACAAGCTATACATACACGAGAAATCATTGTCGGTATTGCCCCTAACCCCTGCACAAGTAAAATTGCCACACACACACACACACACACGCAGACGCTGAAGAGGATGATGAAGATGATGATGATGATGACTCTGATGTTGATGATGTTATTGATGTTGTTTTACATGATGTCGATTGTTTATGCGGAAGATAATAATGGCGATGACGATACCTGCGGTGATATCAGTTACAATGACAATGTTGCTGCCGTTGTTGTTGCATTACCTTTGTGACACCCGAATACACAAATCTCGCGATTTGTGGGTTCCCCGAACAAAAGCTTCACAAATGAACGCAAAATTCAAGCAACAAACACCACGATAAGCACGGTATTTGCGACACTGTCGCACAACAAACACATGCCGCGAACATGGTCGTATTCACTATTCAATTCACGAAAACCACACAAAACTCCAGATTTTCAGGATTTGCACCAAAACAATTCCAAAAACCACACGACACACCCTTCGTGGCGGCAAACACACCTGCTTCCTTGTCGTTGGTGGTGTTGTTGTTGTTGCTATTACAAGTCGCATTCAGTGCTTTTAGCTGAGCTGGCTTCGTTCGTTGTAGTAGTTCTCACGGCCTGGTGTTTGTTGCTTTTCCATGCTCATGGCAGCCTGTTTTTTTGTCCCACGTTTGCCCAATTACTGGAGCCGCTGTGGCGGTTGTGGCGGATGCTGTGCCGGGGCTGTGTCAGGTATTTAGGGTTTTGAATCTGAGGTTTGGCAAGTGGGACAGAAGCAGGCCACAACGGTTTGCGCGGTGAGCCCAACCGTGCTGTCTCAGAGTTTTGTTGCATCATATTATTGAGCCAATGATGGAGAAGGGGCCGCAATATTCGCCATTTCACCTCCCCACATTCAGGAGACTATGCAAAAACGGCCACATGCGACAGCACGTAAACTACGATGGGAGGAACGGACTTCAGCGGAAGTTTGCTGGTCTTTTGCGAAAGCCACAGCCCGAAGGACCGCAGGGCCAGAAGCACGACATTATGTCCCGTTCGAACAGAAAGAGCAAATATCTTGTTGGGATCTGGTCGGCAGAACGGTCATTGCAGGAGCGAGGCAATGCGTGGTTGTTCTTGCCGGGCACTTTGAGATACTTGCAAAGACCGAGCCAGGCCGCAGTGAGCAGGGAATTGACATGAGCCATAGTTCACGCAAAGGTTCCTGTTGGCTGGTCGCAGGACAAGAGCACATGCTATCTCGTGTGGGACGATCTAGACGAAGATGCCAGGCATGAAAGCTAGAAAGCTAATTGTGGCGCTCGGTGATGCATTTGCCACATTGCCAGGTGGGTGCGAAAGCAAAAAATGCAAGGTTTAAGGGTACATCCTTCCGAACATGACGTGCCTTGGCTCGATCATGAAAATGGTTGCCATGTCGGTTGAAAGCATGTAAACTGCCAGAATGTTCTTGTTCTCCAGGCTATGGTCACGAGGCGGAAAAACAGGCGCTTGGAGGAGAAAGTCGAGCTTTTTGATGATTGGCTTCTGAGACATGCCGGCTACCTGCTTTGAAGATTTGGATTCGGGTCATGGCGGTAGTAAGGCGGCAGGTTCACCACGAAAAATCCCTGTTTGAGGTGATCCCCGAGTGCAGGTCATCTTGGAAGGCCCCGTGTTGGACACAGAAGTGGAACTGCACGAGGCTTGATAATTTGATATGTTTTTGATTCTTGGTGGCAGCTCTGTATCTCGAGGAGCCTGGCGTTGAGCCGGCACCATTGGCTCACCGGTCCTTGCAGTTGATGGAGCTGGTTGCTTGGCTTTCGAGCTTGGATCGCACGCCATCAAGCTTCTAACTAGTGCCCTTCAACTTCAACCTAGGATTCCTGCGACGAGGAGGAGCCGGAGGCAAGTCACCGAGAAATGTGCGTTTCGTCTCTGTTTTTTTTGCCTTCATGGACAGGATGACGAGCAGACGCGCAGGCCTGGCTTCATGCTTAGCAACGGAATCTTGGCAGCTGAGTGCGTGCGAAGGTTCTCTGGAGAGGATGGGACCGGGACCTTCCTCGAATTCCTCCGACGTCGTGTGCTGCAGCACCTGGACCCGTGGAGGAGCTTTGCATCCGAGAGCAGCAGCAACACCAACAGCAGCAACAAACGCGCCAACAACAACAACAGCACCACCGCCAGCAACAACAGGAGGACCAGCAAAAACAACAGCAAACACAAGACCAACTTCAAATGCGACGTCAACTGCAACAACATTAATAAGCGCAGTCGGAACAAGAAGCACAGTAGCTACGATGATATGCTAAAGGTGGGCCTGTTCTGAGAAGACGTTGACATTTCAGAATTGCTGGATTTACGGCAGAGATCCGTGCAGGATCCGTTTCATGGACCCGAGAGAGTTGGGAGATCCGGACGATGAGGAGCTGCGCATCAGGCGTGAGAGGGACTTTCTTGCTGAGGGTTTGGGGGAAGCTGCGAGCTCTGGGTCATAGCAAAAAATAAATACCATAGCATAACAGGTTAGTTGTATCATATTATATTCTATAATCATCTCAGGATTTGAATCCAACGGCTTACCGCTGCGTGCTTGCGAAGATTGGGTGCGGAGTGCTAAGGCTTATGCAGATACTCCGACTGAGGATCGCGAGATGCTCGCAGTTAACACTGAACTCCGTAGCTGTAGCAAGGATAACCAGCACATCTCGTTGCATCACTCCATCTCACACGACTCCCATCACTAGCAATTCGCTTTCGTGGCGACAGGGGCGAGGGGCCAGATCCTCGCAAGCTCCACCACTAAGATCGACACAAGCACTGCCTCCAAAGCCTGTGGATGTCAGAAGGTTCCAGAGCCTCCTTCAGAAGCCGATGCCACGGGACCTGGAGGAGCAAAAAGCCGATGACTCTTGATCTTACTCCGTGTGAGGGCATCTCTGTGTGGGTTTCGAGTTTAGGGATCTTACTCCGGGCATGTCCGCTGGTTGTCCTCAGCTTTGGGAAACCTGGTCCTTGCTGCTCCTTTGCGATCCAGCATTCCGACCTAGAGTTCAAGAGCTGATTGTAGTAGTAGTTGTAGTAGTAGTCGTCGTCGTAGTGGTAGTGGTAGTGGTAGTGGAAGTAGTGGTGATAGTGGTAGTGGTAGTGGTAGTGGTAGTGGTAGTGGTAGTAGTAGTAGTAGTAGTAGTAGTAGTAGTAGTAGTAGTAGTAGTAGTAGTAGTAGTAGTAGGCACCCCCCCTACCAACTACACTTGCTCTTAACCATGTTAAGACAACACCCATTTTACTCAGTATTTGCTGCACTTTCGTCATGTGCGATCATCCTAAGAGGCCTAAGAATCGACTTGTCGAGTTTGCAAACTCGGGCTCTTGATTTTGGACTTGCTTCTGGGGGTGGGTGGGGGGGTGGGGGGGGGGATGATGACGACAGTGTTACACGAACACAAAGAGGGTATCACCACAGGAGCCGTTTAACTCGGTATTTGCGGTACTTTCGTGATGTCAGACTTTGTCTACTTCTCGACTATGCAAATTAAACTTTGCTGTTTCGAACTGTTTGCCAAAAAACTCGAAATTGGGTGGGGGAAAGCTTCTTCGGGGATGATCACGACACTGTTTTGCGGAGTTTGCCCAAAAACTCGAAATTGGATGGTGGAAAGCTTCTTCGGGGATGATCACGACACTGTTTTGCGGACAACCTGAACAATATTTCCACTCTCAAGCGCGCACACACACCACACACACCACTTCAAAAACAGACCCTCCTACGCCGAGGTTGGGTGGTAGGGGTGTTGGCGAGCCCCTCCCACGTACAGCGAGCATCTTTGTTTTTGATGTTTAGAAGATGTTGCGCTTCAAATTTTAGAAATGTTAAACCCTTCTTGGCAGCACCTGGGTTTTGCACGGCATTTACAGCGTTTTCGTACTATCCGACCACCTGCGGTTTAGCAGTTTCTTCCCCGTCGAGCTTGCAACTCCAGCTGCTGTTGCAGTTTTGGGCGTGAGCCCCTGCAACTTCACCGGCTGTGACAATTAAGGAAACTGAGCCTCTGCAACTTCTGCAGCTGTCACAGATAGGGAGCCTGAGCCCGTGCATCTTCTGCAACTGTCGCAGTTAGGGCGCCTAGCAGCTACCGCTGCCCAGCCCGGATGGAACAAGTGTAGTTGGGAGGGGGGGGTGGTTAGTAGTAGTTGTAGTAGTAGTCGTAGTCGTAGTCGTAGTAGTAGTAGTAGTAGTAGCAGTAGTAGTCGTCGTAGTAGCAGCAGCAGTAGTAGGGTTTTCCGGTGCATTTGGACGTCTCAGAGAAGGGACTCGACTTCGGACTTCCATTCCAGCTTCCCCCCAAGGAACTGGGCTTGGCCGCCACGAAGCGGCCCATAAAGCAATGGGTGAAGCAGGCTCGGCTTACGGGAAGAGGTTGGGCTTTGTGGTTGTAATGTGGCTTTTGCCGAGGCGCTTGGGACTCCCACAGTTCCTTCTTGGGAGGCCTTCTTTGGAGCATCTTCTGAGTCACTTTCCTGAAGAGTTCCGTCGTGAGTTGCAGGGATCCCAAGCCGGGCCCTAGGCTCTTGTACTACTCCCCCCACATCCGGGGCGACTTCGTACCCTTCCTCGCTTGCGTGCTGAAGGCCTCGGAGGCAAAACGGCCCCAGGCCACAGGGCTTCAAGCCTTCTCAAGCCAGCAGAGTCTTGCTCACGTAGACGCGGGCACGTTGGTACTGCCGTGGCAGGGAGTGGTGTTGGAATTCTTCCAACATCTCTACTGCGGAAAGCTGTCAGACGCCTTTGCCATGTTGCGGAAGGATAGGGCTGCCTTGAATCTGACCGTCTATTCTACAAGCAGTGGTTTGCTTTTTGGGATCGGAAGGACGAGGGGGCCCGCTCATGCCTGCGAGTGCGCTCTGCCCTGCCGGACCCCGAGCCTCGAACTACCTCACTTGAGTCAGGGTTGGGTTTAGGCCAAGCGGAGCACAAGCATGCAAAAGCCCAGAACCTACAGCCGCAAGTGTACGTACGACTATGCACATACAGACGGACACTCGCACTTGTAGACGTGTGCGTGTGTGTGTGTGTGTGTTTGTGTTTGTGTGTGTGTGTGTGTGTGTTTGTGTGTGTTTGTGTGTGTGTTTGTGTGCGTGTGTTTGTGTGCGTGTGTTTGTGTGCGTGTGTGTGTGTTTGTGTGCGTGTGTGTGTGTGTGTGTGTTTGTGTGTGTGTGTGTGTGTTTGTGTGTGTGTGTGTGTGTTTGTTTGTGTGTGTGTGTGTGTGTGTGTGTGTGTGTGTTTGTGTCTGAGTCTGTGTGTGTGTGTGTGTGTGTGTGTGTGTGTGTGTCTGTGTGTCTGTGTTTGTGTCTGAGTCTGTGTGTGTGTCTCTGTGTGTGTCTGTGTGGCTGCGAGTGTTGGTGTGGGTGTGGTGTCGGCCGGGGGGGGGGGGAGAGGGTGGGCGTGCGCGAATTGCGTCTATATATAAATATGTGTGTGTGTGTGGGTGTCATCTAAGTCGAATCTAAGTGTGTATATATGTACATATGCATGTGTATGTAAGTGCATTATCGCATGCATGTACGTCGCACGTGTCCAGTTGTGCATGTGTGTGTGTGTGTGCGCATGCAGGGAAGGATGCATGCACTTATGACACTTATGAAGTTTATATATGCTTGCTTGTTGTAAGTATGCAAGTATATGATATGTGCATGTATGGATGAGTCGGTGGCTGGATGGATGCATGGAGGTGTGTATGTATACAGTATACATCTACTTGAAAGTTAGCCATGGTTCTTCAATCAGGCATGCATGTGTACAACATAGAGACCGAACGATATCCCGTATCGGCAAACGGTGGCATGTCGAATTGCACGATCACCCGATTGCAGAAAGTGCATAGCACAGAGTAACGGTGAACTAACCTTGTATAAATCCTTCGTCGGCACGAGGCATCTTCGCCCGGACCGGAAAAGCTACAGACGCCGCCAGGCAGATTGGAGTGCGCATCCTGCTGAACCAGCGCTGCTTTGCAACAGCTTTCAAGGTCTACAGTGTCTACAGTTGTGAACATTATGTGTCGAGCCTGCACTATGCGGCAGGATGTTCGGCGCTTGATCCCCGTCCACTGTGCGCCTGTGGAGCATCGGCAGCAGTGCCGGGCAACCGTTCGTGGGCATGCACGGGAATCCGAGCCATGATCCAAACACCGAGGATCGGTTCTTGAAGGCGCGGAACTCTGACCCACCCAGGACAGTGCTGGTCATGGTGCTGTCATTATCAAGACATGGTTGTGATCCACTTGTCTGCTTCAGAATCGCCCAGGACTTGGATCTCAGACTTGGCGGAGCACGTCAAGAACGGAGGTGCCGAGGATGTCGTGAGAGCAGGCACAGATGCCCGAGGGGGCGGAGTCCAGGATTGCATGTTTGGCAGTACTACGAAAGTCTGCGTACGATGGCTTTTTCTTCTTCTACTTTGACTTCCACCACCGCCATCACGACCACGACTACGACGACTACGGCTCTTTTACCTACGGTCCGCGAATAGACTTGAAATCTTCAGGCCCAAGCCCTAAACTTCGCTAAACCCGCTTCTGAGAGTTTAGCACACTAGCACTTGCACGGCCCAAAATCCTATCAGCTGGCGGGTTTAGGGCCTAGAGGGTTTAGAGTTTTGGGGGTCAGGGTTTAGGTTGAGAGTTCAATGTTTCGCAAAGCTGTTGGGCACTCGCGGGCTTTCACGTGGTGTGTTGAGGGTCTGGAAGCCAAAATCAATTCCATTCGCAAGCCCTCAACAGGCATCCTAGGCTTGAAAGGGTAAGAAGTGCCACGTCGGGGCTTTTGGGATCTCAGGGCTTTGGAGCATTTGATGCGTTTGGGTCTTTCGGGCTTGGAACTTGGCAGATCTGTCTCAAGGCAACTGAGTGTAACTGTCACTCCGTTATCGGTTTGACTCTGAAAGGGTTCAGGCGCAGGGCTTCAAGATTTTGAGGTTTTGTGGATGTCAGTTGGTGCAGGGCATGCCCGAAAGCCTGCACTGCCCAGAAGGTGCGGTTGTCGAAGCGCCAGTGAGGGGTTCCCTAGAACCCCCACCCTTCACCCGAAAACTCGTATAATATATTCACAGGGAGGAACGATGGCAGGAATCACAAGAACTTGATGCCCTAATACTCGAAACGATGTGAACTGGACCGCGAACCAGATGCAAACTGGATCCCCCTTTCACTACTTTTTGCTGTTTGCTATTGCTGTTGGTGGCGGCGGTTGTGGGGGCGGCGGCGGTGGTGGTGGCGGCGGTGGTGGTGGTGGTGTTGCACTTGAAGTTGCAGTTGCGGTTGCTGCGGTGTTGCAATGAAGCTGTTGGGGCTGCTGTTGCTGCTGCTGTTGCTGCTGTCGCTGTGGTCGTGGTGGTTGTCGGTTTCTATGACCCCCAAAGTTTTCTCTTCTTCCTTAAATCTCCTGTCTCTTGTGCACCAAATCCCTGGCAGTTCAATCTTGGTACCTGAGATCGGTGGAAACCTTCCTGCATCTCGGCGGAAGTCGCTAGGGCCGCTAGGGTTTAGGTTGTTGGGATATTTTGAAGAAGGGGGGATCTTAAGATCAGGGGTGCCATATTTATGGGTTCGCTGGAGCTGTGTCATCGTGTTCAGTTTTGGCACCATGCCGCCTAGCTGCTAGCTGACGGCTGCCTTTTCCAAGCTTGTCAATTGTATGGTTGGTCCAATGTAAACATCTAAGGAACAACCCGAAAGCGCAAGACGTCGAGGGCGACTATTTCGTTGCGCCGCTGACTCGGGTTCACTGTTCATGTTGCAAGGTGAAGCTGTCATTAAAGGCCTTCAGTGCCTACAGCAAATCCACAACAATCTTATTCCCTAGTCCAAGTGAGGTGGCTCCGGGAATGTCATCGCGAGATCCATGCCAGTACCTTACATCCGTGTGCACATTGGAGTTTCCGTTACCTTCCCGGAAAGGATTCTGAGCTCTTTAATTCAACTTGGGAGCTTCACTGCCTTCGTTTGTTTACCCGAACGATTTTCCTGAAAAAAATCTTGGAGGCCTGTTAGATTCAACCCCTAAGCCCTAAACCCCTGAACCCTAAACCCTAAACCCCCGATTGTTGCGCAGTTGGAGTTGGCTTGTGGTTCGTGGTGTTTGACAGCGCTGTCCCTTGTTCTAACAGGGAGCAGGGGATTTGTTGTAGAGTGCGTCTGGTGATAAGTGCCAGTTGCTTGTTAACGAAGGACCAGGATTGCTACAGACTTTGCCAGGCTTTGTCCGAGTGTGAGTGTCAAAACCCCTGAACCCTAAACCCCTGAACCCTGCATCTTTAAAAAACCTGAACCCCTGAACTCTAAGCCCTAAACCCCTGAACCTATAGGATGACATCGACACCTCCGATCCGGCTTTGCTCCGGTCCCGGGATCGCGTTCCGAGCCTCTCAAAGGAGCGTCCTACGAAGTTCCTCAGCCGCAGGGATTTACGAAACTCTGGTTTAGGGTTTAGGGTTTCCGAAGCTCAGGCCCGAGTTTGGAGATCTTAGATGCATATATAGGGCTTCTATGGCGATTTGGGCGGTTGGGATTCCTGGGACTTCTGTGCCATGGGCTCTTGTTTGCTCCGACTTGTTCTGTGCGATGCGATGGGAGTCCTTGTCCTGGGTCCCTGTTTGTTCCAGTTCGTCGTCTCCGTAATCGGACTCCTGTTTCCCAGCTGGTTTGCTTCAGTTTGCATCTTGCATTGTCTCTCGCGTCCGGGGTGCTACGTCGCATGTGGTCCGGCTTCTGTGCCTTGCATTTTACATGCTCCTCTTGGTTTTGCCTCATGTGGTCGGACTCCTGTGTCTCGGGATTTTGGCAGGGGGTTGCAAACAAGTCCTGCACAACACGGCAATGTGCTGCGCCCCAGGTACCATAACCTCCGAGGGAGTCCTGGATAAAATTGGAGGATGTGACAGTATGGCAGCTGACATGGTGCGACGGCGACAGCTTGTAGATAGATAGATTCGGATGGATCCTCTCGGGCTCATTCATGTTATGGCTACTTCTGAGCGTGCTTGACTCAAGGTTGCCGTTTGACTCAAGGTTGCCGTTGCGCAATTCGGCTAAGGATCCACATCCCGGGCTTCGAGGATGCGATGAGAGAGATCGTCAGCTTCGATCCGAATGCCGGAAAGCCAACCTCAAAGAGGTAGCGAAAGCCAGCCACTCCATCCCCATGCAAACCCTCCATACCCATAGACAGTGGCAACCAGGCAGCGGGTCCTGGCCAAGATCATCATCGCCAGTTCCCGAGCAAGCGAGAGGGGTGTCACGAGAGCGAGCATGAACCGATTCCAGCTTCATTGTTGCATCAGGAGGACTGACTACACCCCGACACGTAACATCGACTCGATTTCCGTAAACATGCTAGCTATGGCGGCACAGGATAGCAGGTGTACTGCCACAGCAAGGGTCATGACATGATTGAGCGTAGTAGAATCGGCAATCCTTGGGTGGTGGTGGCCCCTCAACCTTCTATACAAAACACACACACACACAGACACACACAGACACACACACAGACACACACACACACACACACCCGCGCACACACACACACACACACGCACACACACGCACACACACGCACACACACGCACACACGCACACGCACACGCACACGGGCCCAAACCCAGGATGTCTTCCAGCTTCGCATGGTCGACTTGGCGGCGATCCTTTTGGTCTCAGATCGCCAGGGCCGCACAGGGTGTTGGGAGTTTCGAAGTTCATACAATAGCAGACACACCATCTCAGGTGTGCTCCAGGCCCGCGTTGGGACCGAGGTGGTCGTGATCTTGCGCCTTGGCTGGGTGGCCTCTCTTACCGGCTCTGTGTGTCGTTTCTTCGTTGATAGTACGGTAGGCCTCGAATCTCGCCTTGCAGGTACGCTGGGAGCGACCACGCCAGCGCTGTAGAGAGCTTCTTCCGGGAGCGTGGATTCCGAGGAGATCACCTGCCGCGAGCTGGCCGAGTGGGAAAGGACAGTTGCCGCTCTTTCAGGAAACGAGTCATGTTGAGACCGTCGCTACGCAGGACTACTGGTATCCTGATGAGCAAAGAGGCGATGCCGCGATAGTCTAAAACTTCGAGGTGCTTGGGTCCTTGGGCCTTGGGCCTGGCAACTTTCTCTTGCAGGGCTCCACCTGCCGAGCTACCTCCATGATTTCGGTCTCTGGCTCAGGAGGGGAGAGGAGAAGAGAGTAGAGTGAGAGCGTCCTGGCCACTTCTGCCGGCGTTTTGAGGCGATCTCTTCAGCTGAAGTGCCCATGAAGCACTCGCCTGCACACGTTTGTGGCCACGAGCTCAGCGGCAGCCCTTTGTTTCAGTCTTGGAGAGACAGCGACACAGCCCGTCACCGTCAGCCTGAAACGCCAGGCTGCTACTTCGTTCCTCGCGGTAGCCCCAGCAGCTCCAGCACCACCACACGGCGTCTTGAGATCCGGATGAGCGTCGGAGCGCAAGAACGCCGGCACTTGCAGCCTGCAGCGAAGCTCGCCGACGGGCCCCTGGAGAAGAGCAGCGATGGAGCCGTCGCGAAGGCCGGAAGCCGGAAGAGCGGAGCTGTTGCGTAAAGAAGAAGCCGTGGAGCCGTAGTGGAGCATCTGTAGCCTTGTCTCGCTGAGGAGGCAAAAAGCAGCTACGCATCCATCGGATTCGGCTCCGGCTCGTGGTCTTCGGCTCTTCCCCTCCAAGAGGCCGGTCTAGCCACGGTAAAATTTTGTTTATCTTGTTGTTTCCTCTTTGGGCGGGAAGACTTCAGGGTGCCTTCACGCTGCCAAAAGGATTTGCTACACTGCTACACGTTCGGTGGAGCATGCTGAGCCGTCACGGCATCACTGTAGCTCACAGAATGCTCACAGGATTCCACAACGGAACCATACAAGGCTCCTGATGTTGTTCAATGTTGTGTTCTCCGTGGTGCAGTCGCAGTCTTTCGTCAGGCTCAAAAGCGCCAGAGGGAAGTCGAGATGCGCTGCGAGAGATGAGCTGGCGATGCAAGGACGATGATGCCATGCCTATGATGCCATGCAACACCAGCCAGTTCCTTGTATTCGGTCAGAAGGACAAGCAAGAAAATCTGAGAATGTCCATGCACTCCTCACGCTTTGCATGTCTCGACAAAGACCATGGCTCATGGGCTCTTGCAGCAGCATCTGCGCTGCGCCTTCCATGAACGCTGAAGAGAATGCCACCTTCGTGGTGAACCTGAAGCAGCCAGGGGTTGGCGATGGCGTAAAATACGGCATCAACAAACCCAAAAGAGGTCCTCGAGAAGCGTTGGGTTGACAAGGACTTCCCGCTGAACTATACATCCTTGTAGGCATCAAGAAAGAAGAAACATTCAGCATCGGTGGCCGGCTACTGAACCATGCCCGGTGCCCAATTTCTTATGTCCATCCTGAGAGGCCACTGTTTCCGAAGGATGGCATCATCGATCCAGCTACCTAACAGGGGGCTTTGGTGACTGTTGGCTCATCACGGCTATATCGACGACACGGCGGAACATCCGGACTCGTTGAAGAAGCTTTTCCTCGCCAAGGAGCGCGACGAAATTCGGCAATATGTGGTGCGAAGGTTTATAAGAATGGGTCAATGTGAAGGTTGACGCCCATCGACTTGGGGGGAGGCATGGCTTACGAACTGGTCTACGTGAATCCCACGGACGACGCTGCTTGGATGTGCAAGCTCTGGGGCAACTGCATGCAACTGAATGGAAGGCTTGTCAGCGAGGTTGGAAGGTAGTGACGGGCGCCAGCGAATCTTAGCTTGCTTTTCGAGCCATGTCAACCCGTGGACGTTCTTTTCTTTACTGTGGATTTTGCTCGGGTGCGCACGGGCAGACTGAGGATGCGGAGATCCACAATTGGGAATTCAGCGAGGACGCGCTTCGACAGCCAGAGCCTCGACGTTGACTGGGATGAGAGGGAAAAGTCCTTGAAGAGCCTGGACCACGAAAGGACCGCTCACGCCCGAAGGCTTCTTCGAAGTCTTGCAGGAGTGGGACTCCAACAACTACCTGATGTGTGCTGGCATCATCGCGAGGAAGGAAGAATCCCAACCTCAAGCACGTAGATTCTGAAGAAAACGAAGGCGAAGTCGGAAATGGTTTGGGCACAAAGCACGCATATGGCCTCTTGTCCTGCAAGGAGGGCCATGGGCCATGGCTTCAAGCCGGTCCGGGTCCGCAACCCCTCGGGGAAGAAGCAGGAGTACTCTGGTGATTGGGGCGATGCCTCTGAGAAGTGGAAGGAGAATCCCGAGGTGGCCAAGGAGGTGGATTTCAAGCCCAGGGTGGATGGGATCTTCCGGATGACGGTCCAGGATTTCTGTGCCAACTTGACGGATGTGCAGGCGGGAGTTGGGCTGGGCGTTTCCGAGTACCTTATTTTGGGGTTCTTTTCATGAGGATCCCACCGTTTAGGGTACTCTTTCAGGATCCCCTGTTGTTGGAAACCCCATCTTTGTCAGGAATCAGGGCCCTGCTAGCAGTCTAAAGGCTCGCCTGTAGCTGTACACGACTGCACTGCACCGCTGCCCTCAGGCTCTGAAAAAGAGCCACGCGGGATCAAGAGCTGCAGATGCTCCCTACGAAGTTGAAAGGGAGAAGAAGATCAAAGCAGCCCGTGAACGCGCCAATCGCATCAAGCAGGAGCTCTACGACCACGGCTAAGCTGGCGAGGTGGTTCTAAAGGACCCGGTATGCGAGCTCTTTGAGATGGTCACCAAGGAGTGCATGGCACTTTCGGGGATCCCGGAGAATAATGCCAAGGACTTCGCAGAGCATGCCCGCAGAGAAAGCTGCCCCCCAAGATCGAGAGGTCCCTGGCCAACCGGAAGAAGGAGCAGAGCCAAAGAAACCCCCCAAGTGAAGGCCCAAGAGACCCAAGGCGACTCCGATCCCCTGCAGCTAGCAGCGGCCTCGGAGCCGTCCGAGGCCACCCCGGCTGAACCCGGAGAGGGCATCGTGGTCGACGCAATGGAAGCCCAGAAAGCGAAAGCACGGTCTGAGCTGGAGGTCAGGCCGAATCTGGAACCCCCGGTGAAGAGTTACTGAGCGACGTCGACCGCGCAGGCATTGCGACCGATGAGTCCCTGCCACAAACAGACAAATGGGCTGCCATGGACATGTTTTGAGCTGTGATGGTCTTTTTTTCTGGCCGTCCTCAAAGAGGCGGCTTTACGACACCGGGCTCTAAGTAAGAGAACCTCTAAAGAAGGGCAGTTGCCTCCTGCGCACGTGCGTGTAAATATCGCGCGAGGACGAAAGCAGCGAATCAAAGCTTCGAAATGGTGATGCATGTTTCAGAGCGTGCGAAAGTTTGACGTATCGCCGAAGACTGCTACGTGTGTCTGTAACTGTAGATGGTGTTTGCTTTGCTATGCCGCAAAGCTGACGTGTAAATCCAATTTGAGAGTGCAAGCTGCAGATAGTAGTAAGTGGAGCCAGAGAATATGGTAGCTCTGTCGTCCGCTGCAAGACAAGCTCAAACCATCAAATTCTGAATCCTTGTGCTAAACCCAATTGGCCCTAAGGCCCCTCAATGAAGGCATGCTGCGAATCCAAGTCAGTGTAACCGGCTTCATGGGAGGGCACCCTGGATTCAACTTGAGCTGCTCACTCAGAAGACCAATCTGTTTGAGGCACTGTCCATGCTAGCAGCATGTGATGTGTGCCCTGTTTGTTTGTCCAGGCGAAGCATGCAGCAGCAGCTTGATTGAAGCAACCACCCGCAAGAAACAGCGCAGGCAACCGCGGCCTTGTAAAAGCGCACTTCTAAACATGACTTTCTGGGCCGCACTCTTTACAGTTTTTTGACTGCAGCAGATGCGCAAGGTCTGCTGACTGTAGCAGCGCTTGATTACGTGTTCGGCTGTTGCTGTGCCTTGGCTGGCAGGAACCCTTGCAGCCTTGCATCTTCCGATCTTCCCGGCCATGCTGTCCCTTTGTGCGTTGGCTTTGCTTGCCCTCGCAAGCATTGGGCTTGCCGAGGAGAGCTGCGACGACGCGGCCCTGCTGGCAACTTTCCCACGCCAACTGCTGGAGACCCAGCGTTCCGAGCGATCCCTTCGGTACTGCGCAATAAAGGTGGCCGACGCAGTCGAGCAGACGGTGCTGACTGGTGGAAAGTGCATGGGGGGTGCTGTGAAGGAGGGTGTTGACTGCCTTGTGCAGGGCGCTTACACGACCGGGTCCTGCGCCATCAACTGCATTCGGGGTGTCGAGACCATCGTCAAGGACGGGAAGACCATCGTCACATCGGTCAGCTCGGATGCAACAAATGCGGCAAAAACGGCGTGGGATGCTGTCACGCACAGCATTGCCCACACTGCCGAGTCGGCTGGCCACACCATTGCCCACGGTGCCGAGTCGGCTGGCCACACCATTAGCCACGGCATTAGCGACATCATTCACTGGGCTCTTCCGCAGACAGGTTGCTGCAAGCCCACATGCAACTTGCCTGTGCCCTGCAAGCCGACCTTTCACTTCAGTGGCTTCGAGGCATGCTTGAAGGAGGTCGTCGAGGCACGCGGCCCTTCTGTGATCGCCGTAGAGCCGTAGAGTCTTAGAGCGACGTGGAGATGGTGTTAACTGTGTAAGCAGCTGCAAGTAATTATATTAAAGCAAACATACAACCCAGCTATGGCCAGGGTTGGGAGTCTTGGGGGCACATAGTTAACCAGGCTACTTGTACACCGACAGTTCAAGAGGGGGGCTATACTTAAACGACTCCTTCAAGTACGTACAACTGAATGAAGAGACGATCCAGTTGCAACTCTGAGAGACGAAGAACACGCTAGAGTCAGCCAATTACATCTGGCGTATGCATAGTCGCATTCCCAACAGTATCATATGGGAGCTCTTTGATGCTCTTTGCTCGGTCCGCTTGGTTTGAGGCAGAAGGATTTGACGAATTGAAACCCAAGTCACGGCACAATGGTTTTGGGGTTTTAAGGCTTGTGAAGCTCATGCTCCTTTCGGGCTATGCCAAGGTCTTGCCCGCCCTCGTGGGCTTCTGCGACTCAGGGCTTCTGCGGAGTAGAAACGGGCCTTGAGGCAAAAAAACACACAGACCCAGGCAGCCTGTGCCCCAACTCTTTGAATGCTTTAGCCCAAAAAGCCGTGCCGCTGCTGAAGATGTCCCCCACCCGACCGGCATCTCAGCCCAAACAAAAGTCTTCGGATGAGGATTTAGGCTACTTGGGTTTACTATTCTACGGGAGGCTTGAAGTCTTGCGGCTTTGGGGTTTTGTGGCCTTGTTGTGACGAGGAGCCGGTCATCCGAACATGCCAATACAGCTTTCTCAGTTTGCAGACACAGTGACGCAAAGTGACGCAACCCCAAACCCTATACCTTGCGTTGTCACTTTGATGTTTCCCTTCTGTTACTGCTCAACATCCGTCTCCTAGAAGATGGAAGTAGGGCTTTGGGTGTGTTGTATTTTGTAAGCCCCCCAACCGACAACCAAACCATAAACCCTCAGCCTTGCGCAAAACCGGGAAGAGGAGGCGCTGAAGGATGTGACTTCGGTCGATGGATCCCTCCTGGACGCGGCCAAGTCGTTGTTGGACTGCTGCTCATTGCTGCTTTCAGCCCAAGCACGGAAGCCACCGTAGTTCCATCCTCCTTTCCGGTGTTATAGTAGACACTTCTGACTCAGCTGGAGACCCTATGGCCTAAACCCTCAACTTCCATTTTCTTGTCTGTTCTCGCGGTGGAGCCTGTGGCACCGAAGCCTTACACGAACCGACAGACTGGTTGCTGCTGGAAACTTGAAACACTGAAGAAGAACATGGGTACCAAATACCTTGCTTTTTGCTTGTCCATCTCCGAGCTGAATCTACATCAGCATATCCGTCACAAGCCCTTCAATAGGTTCCCTTGTTTTCCACCGCTGCAGTATCCTACTAATAAACGTAACAGTACTTGTACTAGCAGTGATAAGAGTGATTGTAATAGTGGTAGTAATGATAACAACAATGACAACGAAGACAGTAATGTTCATAAGAGTAATGAGGATACTACTACTACTACTACTACTACTACTACTACTACTACTACTACTACTACTACTACTACTACTACTACTACTACTGCTCCTGCTGCTACTACTGCTACTACTACTACTACTACTACTACTACTACTACTACTACTACTGTTACTGCTGCTACTACTGCTACTGCTACTGCTACTGCTACTGCTACTACTACTACTACTACTACTACTGCTACTACTACTACCACTACCACTACCATTAGCAGTCACTAGCACCACCACTACTACTAGGGCATTAGGCCATGGTTTTCCTGATTTTTGGACTTCCACGACTTTGTTTGAGGGCCTGGATGCGTTGGTATTTACAGTATTTCCGCGTTTATACGTCTTTGTCTCTTTAAACAAGGACCATGCAGACCCGAGCGCCTTAACGACTTAAAATACAGTCATAACACCTGTCTTACATCATCATACTCATCAACATCAGCATTGACTTGTGGTGGGGGGTGGGTGAAAAAATATGTAGAAAGTTGGTTGTAGGGGTCTGCCCCCCGACGCTACTAGCCCCCTATGTCGGTTTATCAACATAGCTCTCTTAATCATTATTACGTTTTGTTGTCATCTTATTCACATTCTTGTATTAAATTTTGGCTAACCTTTGAACTTATTTCATACATAATTACCTTATGCATCTTCACATGACCACGCCTCAAACGTTTTTACACAAGTTTTCATTTTTTTAAATAATTTCTCAAAAAAAAAACCCAGCCCCAGTCACCTCATTCATTTTCGTAAATTTTAAAGTCAGTTTTAGGCATCTCTAACGTTAAAATTGTCCAGGTTTTTGTCCTTGTAGTATTTTGTTCAAATATATTTGTGGTTATTTCATACATTATTTTTGTTCAACCTTCTACTTCGTTTTTTACAACTAGTCTTCTGGTTCATTTTCATTTTTTCGAAAATATATCAAAATATTTATCAAAAATTATCGTCACCCTATTCAGGTTATTTCAATTCTGATTTGTAGTAAGCTCCTGTCTCATTTTATGTCATGGTTTAGGTATACTATTATGTATGGTTTTACGTGTAGGTTTATGTGCAGGTTTTTCGTGCTGGCTTTGTATCTATTATACTGAATGCATAATTGCATGCAAGTTTGCTACTACTAGTACTACTGCTACTAGTACTAGTACTACTACTACTACTACTACTACTACTACGACTACTAATCATAATGCTCAGTTTGCTTAAGAGTCCCTCAACCCCAGGTTGGTTCTGAACCCTTAAGAGGAGTGCAGCTCTCCCACATCTTGCTTGGACAAAGATGACATCATCAAGCAAGCCTGACCCTTATACAGGGCCTTTAAACGTGATGCGCTTGACCAAGGTTTAGGGCCGAGAGATGGGGTAGTTTCAAACTAGTCACAAAACGCTACTTGTCAACCAGTCATAGTTAGGGGTGTTCGGGGACTTGCAGCCTGGGCATAGCTGCAATATGCTGCAATTCACGGGTTGTATTTCCTAAGCCCTACACCAACAAGTCTGAACCCATCTACACTGTAACTACTGTGACAGAGTGCGTTGAAAATAGATTGCGCAATGCAGGGCCTTGACGAAGTGCGTGAATCCTAGTCTGGCATAGCGCTTGAGGCGTTGAGAGCTTTCACAGGTTCGGGAGCTGTGTTGTTCGATTTTGTGCATCGCTCTTCTCGCTTCAGGGCTTCGCTGTCGCTGTCGTCGTCGCCGTCACCGCTGTGTTCGCCGTCGCTGTCGCCTTCGTCCTCTCCCCTGTCGTCGCATTCGCTGTCACCAACATCGTCGTCGTCGCGGGCGGGTCGCTGTCGTTGCTGCCGTTGTCAGCGTTCTGGTCAACGTCGTCGACATTCGTCGACGCTGTCTTGGTGGCTTTACGATTCGAATTCTGGGGTTGAGCTACAGGCCCCAATTGGATATTTAAAGGATTTATAATGTGTAGCTTTCTTTCTTCCTCTTCCGTTTAAGAAGCTGGGATTGCATCCACTCCTTTGGTTTTGTGTTTGGCATCTTCTTGCTTGATCTTCTCGTGCACATCTGGATTTGGTGGAGTCTACATGCTCTACATGGAGGTTCTCTTGACATGGTACTTCTTCTTATTTGGGGTCGAGGGTTGTTTGAGTTGGGGAGTCCACTTCGAAAGGGCAGGTCTGCCCAGTCAGGTTGTCGAGTCAGGGTTTGGGAGTTAGGGAGCAGGGATGCTCCCGAAATTGCCGGGACACGGATCCAACTACCGGCCCCGAATTTTGGAACAGCAACTTAGGTTAAGCCCCAATTCAACGGTAGTTTGACACAAGGTTCTGGGCGTACTCCAGAAGGGTGTCCTTTCCGACGTGCTGAAACCAGTGCTGCATGACGCTGAGAAGGAGGCTGGGGCCCTGGACCCTAAAAGCTACTGACAGCTACTGGCGTAACCCTTCAGCCCTAGATTGTAGTTGAAGAGAAGCCTGCCTCAAACACAAGCTAGGCGGCTTAGCATGGTTGCAGGGGGGGGCTCATAATTGTGTTACCGGCTCTGGCTGTAACTAAAGCTAGTGAACGAGGCATTCTTTACCTGCCCGCTCCAAGCAGCTCTTGCGCCCTGGACTCCCTAGACCTTAAACCACCATGGTGAACTCCCAAATTCTTAGGTCCGAAACCCAGCAGCCAAAAGTCGCTAGCCTTTCGACAGGTGATCAGTCAAATCCCTGGTGCCTCGTCGGTGGAAAAAACTATCAAAGAAGCCGCGCCACTCCAGAAGTTGTCCAGCTTGAAGGAGCTGGGTCTGGGTTTTGGGGTTTGCATTTTTTGTGGAGTGTAGGGTTTAGGGCTAAGGTTCAGGGTTTAGGATTGAAGGAGTGCTGTCCTTAGCATCCATTTTTTGAGGTTCGATTTTGTCAGTGGGCTCAGGAAGGGCTGAGGCATTAAAGACAAGTGCTTCGCACCAGAGCATTCAACCTTAAAGCCCTACAGGCCCTCAATGAGCAGGGCCTCAGTAGGGCGCCTGGGATTTATGGTTTCAATCCCCTGCTGGAACGATTACACGCGGACAATCCCGAACCTTGAGGTGACAGCCCTCTCGGCATTAAGGTTTAGGGTTTGCAAAGAAGCTCGACGCGAGTTGGTAGAATACAATACATAAGGCACGGAATGTTTCAAAATCAAGGGAAGTCGCCGAAGTGAAGAGAAGCTGCTTTGCAATGACCTGGTTCAGTTAGAACATGTAGAAGGGCTTGGAAACCACTGTGTGTTCTTCTTGTGGTGCACAGTGAAACTTAAATCTGAGGCCCCCAGCCATAAGCCTGCACATCAGGGCCTGGCCAATGGTGTGAAGAAGCTGCATGTAACAACTACAGCCAAAGCCGAGGCCGGGTTGGCTTTGAGGGGATTCGGGGACGTGAAATACCGAATGTTTAACATCCAAGTGCCGCTGGTAGTCGCGTGTCAAACGCATCTTTCCATGCTTGCTGCTCAAACTTCTAAAAGAGTAAAGACTACTGCTGTGCTTGTTGACCTGTACCGTTGCATTACGGTGCGTTGCCTTAAGACTTCCGAAAAGGCCCAAATCCCCCAACTTTGTGAAGCCGGCAAACCAAAAATCGTTCGCAGCGTCACTGCTTCAAACCCCTAAACCCAGTACTTCCACACCTGGCAAACGCTGATCCCAAAAGCCATGCAAACCCTCTCCTCTCGAATGCTCAATGACTTCTGCAAAGGTGACTGACGATGATGATGGGCCTGGTCCGGCCCCTCGCCGAACTTCTCAGTTACCGTCGGTTGCATCTTCAAGCCTGCTAGCATTGCTCTGCATCTCACTTTCGTTTTGGAGCCCACCTGCGTCAAAGGACTTGGTGTGTGTGTGTAGACTTCAGGGATCAGTCATGCCGAAATAATTTCCAATATCGTTCCTTGATAGTCTCTGTGATGGCTACAACATCAATTCGCCCCAACCCGAATGGTGATGCCATCCCAATACTTGACAGTTGCCCGAAACACCGCATTACCGTTGTAGGGGTATGTCCACATGTACCCCTACTCCTGCTCTAGCCCGAAGACAAAGCAGTTAAGCCAAAGAAGCTCCCGCCTTGACAAACAACACATATTCAGTGCATGGCCCCGAAAGCACAACCCCATGCCCTGGGTTTAGTGACTCTTGCGCTTCCGACAGCAATTGCATTACTTTGCATTGCCGTAAGACTTCCGAACCGCAAAGGTCAAGACCTAAATCTAACATGACATTGTGAAGCCCGCAAACCAAAAAAGTCCCTCGAAGCGTCAATGATTCAACCGCTAAACCCAGTACTTCTACGCCCTGCAAGCTCTGGTCCTCAAAAGCCATGCAAACTCTGAGCTCTCGAATGCTGAATGCCTTCTGCAAAGGCAGACGACGGTGACGACGGTTTTGGTCCGGATCCCCTCGCCGAACTTCTCAGTTACAGTCGGTTGCATCTTCAAACCTGCTAGCATTGCTATGCATTCAACTTTCGTTTTGGAGCCTACCTCGGTCAGTGGACTTGTGGTGTGTATAGTTCCCTATAGTTCCGGGTTTAGGCATGTCGGGTCCCTATGGCTGCAATATCAACTCGCCCCATCCCGAATGGTGGTGCAATCCCAATAAATGACAATTGTCCCAAACACCGCAATGCGGTTGTCGGGGTATGTCCACATGTACCTTTACTCCCACTCCGGCCCAAAGACAAAGCCCAAAAGGGACCGGCAAAAGCCAATACACAAAAGAAGTTCCCGCTTTGACAAAGGCCTCGAAAACACAACCCCATGCCTTGGGTTTAGTGACTCCTTGTGCTTCCGAGAGCAGTTGCATTACTTTGCATTGCCGTAAGACTTCCGAACCGCAGAGGTCAAGACCTAAATCTAACATGACATTGTGAAGCAAACCAAAAAAGTCCCTCGAAGCATCCATGATTGAACCGCTAAACCCAGTACTTCTACACCCTGCAAGCTCTGGTCCTCAAAAGCCATGCAAACTCTGAGCTCTCGAATGCTGAATGCCTTCTGCAAAGGCAGACGACGGTGACGACGGTTTTGGTCCGGCCCCTCGCCGAACTTCTCAGTTACAGTCGGTTGCATCTTCAAAACTGCTAGCATTGCTATGCATTCAACTTTCGTTTTGGAGCCTACCTCGGTCAGTGGACTTGTGGTGTGTATAGTTCCCTATAGTTCCGGGTTTAGGCATGTCGGGTCCCTATGGCTGCAATATCAACTCGCCCCATCCCGAATGGTGATGCAATCCCAATAAATGACAATTGTCCCAAACACCGCAATGCGGTTGTCGGGGTATGTCCGGCCCAAAGACAAAGCCCAAAAGGGACCGGCAAAAGCCAATGCACAAAAGAAGTTCCCGCTTTGACAAAGGCCCCGAAAACACAACCCCATGCCTTGGGTTTATTGACTCTTGCGCTTCCGAGAGCAATTGCATTACTTTGCATTGCCGTAAGACTTCCGAACCGCAGAGGTCAAGACCTAACTCTAACATGACATTGTGAAGCGCGCAAACCAAAAAAGTCCCTCGAAGCGTCAATGATTCAACCGCTAAACCCAGTACTTCTTCACCCTGCAAACTCTGGCCCCCAAAAGCCATGCAAACTCTGAGCTCTCGAATGCTGAATGCCTTCTGCAAAGGCATACGACAATAATCCTTCGGTCCGGCCCCTGGCCGAACTTCTCAGTTACAGTCGGTTGCATCTTCAAACCTGCTAGCATTGCTATGCATTCAACTTTCGTTTTGGAGCCTACCTCGGTCAGTGGACTTGTGGTGTGTATAGTTCCCTATAGTTCCGGGTTTAGGCATGTCGGGTCCCTATGGCTGCAATATCAACTCGCCCCATCCCGAATGGTGATGCAATCCCAATAAATGACAATTGTCCCAAACACCGCAATGCGGTTGTCGGGGTATGTCCGGCCCAAAGACAAAGCCCAAAAGGGACCGGCAAGAAGCCAATACACAAAAGAAGTTCCCGCTTTGACAAAGGCCCCGAAAGCACAACCCCATGCCTTGGGTCTATTGACTCTTGCGCTTCCGAGAGCAATGGCATTACTTTGCATTGCCGTAAGACTTCCGAACCGCAGGGGTCAAGACCTAAATCTAACATGACATTGTGAAGCCCGCAAACCAAAAAAGTCCCTCGAAGCGTCAAGGATTCAACCGCTAAACCCAGTACTTCTTCACCCTGCAAGCTCTGGTCCTCAAAAGCCATGCAAACTCTGAGCTCTCGAATGCTGAATGCCTTCTGCAGAGGCAAACGACAATGATCCTTTGGATGATCCTTGGGATAATGCCCCTCGCCAAGCTTCTCAGTTACAGTCGGTTGCATCTTCAAACCTGCTAGCATTGCTATGCATTCAACTTTCGTTTTGGAGCCTACCTCGGTCAGTGGACTTGTGGTGTGTATAGTTCCCTATAGTTCCGGGTTTAGGCATGTCGGGTCCCTATGGCTGCAATATCAACTCGCCCCATCCCGAATGGTGATGCAATCCCAATAAATGACAATTGTCCCAAACACCGCAATGCGGTTGTCGGGGTATGTCCGGCCCAAAGACAAAGCCCAAAAGGGACCGGCAAGAAGCCAATACACAAAAGAAGTTCCCGCTTTGACAAAGGCCCCGAAAGCACAACCCCATGCCTTGGGTGTAGTGACTCTTGCGCTTCCGAGAGCAATTGCATTACTTTGCATTGCCGTAAGACATCCGAACCCTGGAGGTCAAAGCCTAAATCTATCATTGCGACTCCCGCAAACCAAAAAAGTCCCTCGAAGCGTCAATGCTTCAAATCGCTAAACCCACAGTACTTCTTCACCCTGCAAACGCTGATCCCAAAAGCCATGCAAACCCTGACTCAATGCCTTCTGCAAAGGACGACGGCATATTTGCTTCCAGGCCTGGTTCATGTTCTTCAAGTCTCACGAGTTCTGCACACGTTTTGGAATTGAAGGTCAAGTATGCAAGTTCGGGTCCTTAATGCGGAGAAGAGTTGCCTTGTCATTCGAACTTGGATAAAGCTGCTGCACGGCCCATCTTCAGCTGTTTAGAGGTTTAGGGCTCCGGGGTGCCTAGGGTTGAGAGGAACTAAGGTTATAGCGCCCCTTACGCAGGCAGAAGGCAGGGCATATGGGGGTCGTATCATGTCCACAGCAGAATCGAATTGATTCTACAAAAGTAGGTTACTCAACTCCGAGATTGGTCAATGAGGCCATTGGATCCAAGCATCATCACTGCGAACAACACCCCACAAACAGAAGGGACAGCGATGAAACTCGATCCCCTAAGTCAGGGCTTTGACATTCAGATTTCAGGGCTTGCAGGTGAGGGCGCTTGGGCTAGGGCTAGGGCTCAGAATTTTCAAGGTCGAGGGTCACGGTTCAGAGTTGTTTGAAGGCTCAGAGTTTAGCCGAACAAGTCCCGATGCCTGGACTAAGTCGACAAGGAAGGATGATTTCCAGCTCCTCGTTGTCCTTGGTTGCTTTTTGAAATATGGTCTAGCGCCAGTACAGTATGCCTTGGGTTTTGGAGTTTCCCTGTGGGAGCGCTCGGCACGTGACAGGAACGACGACCCGGACGTCAACATCCTACAGAAGCGCGGCTGGCAATTTGGGGGGGGCCAGAGGCTAAATGCGATTTTGTCCAGACCCTTAGCCCTCAGACCCTGAAGCCTTGGAACATAAACCCAAAACCTCTAGAAGCTGCAAGCCCGAGTCCTGTCAGTCAGTGGTGCGGGTGCTGAGGGCCGTTGCCACTGGCACGAGCGAATCCCGAACAGCACCTGAGCTGCTGTCCAGATGAGGGCTTTGGGTTTGAGCAAGGTTGGCAGGGTGGACATAGGGCTCCATCTCTTGATTTGGGAGAGTGTTAAATACATGCTCAAACCGTATGCCATCTCCATTTCCTACAATTGCGAAGAACACAAAAACGACTGTATGATAAAGTGCGTGTCCGTGTCTTCTCCACGCCTAAGCCCTAAGAACGAACCCCCGAAAAAGAAACAACCACAGGGCGCTGCGAAGCTGAAGGCCAAGGTCTTCAAGATGCTGGGCTGCTGAGGAAGCCTACAGTGACGCCTAGCCCCAACCCCTGCCGCAGGGGACCGCATACCCTGAGTGTAGGGTTCTGTCCCCACGAGCCCCAAGCCTTTCCCCATGCTCCAAGGGCCCCAAAGCCAAGGATGGAGACAACGGACTGCGGCCTGCTGGACCGCCTGCAGGATCTCTGGCTTCAGGGCTATTTGGATGTTTTGGGGGCATTCTAGAGCATTTAGGGCATTTAGGGGTTTGGGTTTCCAGCTGAAGCCTGTGAAGACGACCTGCTGTCTGTTCCTTGAGGACATCGGAGACGACATTGCAAAGCTCTTCACTCTCGACCTGTCCCCCATCGAACATACCTTCAAGCAAATGGTCGACGATCTGAAGTCTCTGGGTCGCTTTTAACGCCCCTCGTTTTGCTAGCTTCCCTGCTTTCTCGGGCTGGACAGCAAAGGACCTGCATTACGGAGACAGGCCCGCTGGGAATACCAATGCCCTTCATCCAGACGAAGTCCGAAGACTACCGCGCACCCGCATTCCTCGAGGATCTCTTTGAGGAGCCATGTTTTTGTTCTTGTTGTGGTTTCCCGCATACAACGCCCCTTTATCGTCCCATGTACCCCTTGCAGCAGATGGTACCGTCGCTCGTGGAAGCTTATGCGCAGGCTTTTAGGGAGGCATCATCTTGACATTTGAGATGTCTTGGAGATGGCGAGGACCTTCTGCACCCCGATAAGGCCGCCAAGGATGTACAAGAGCTTCGAGCCGATCTTGAGAACGTGCTGGGAGATTTGAAGTCCTGGGCCAAGGACAGGATGCCCTTTTCAGAAGATTTAAGATTGCATAATCGAGAGGCAGTGTGCTATTCACAAAACCTTATGTAGGCCCCAGGCTCTAACGGCTATCCTCGACTCGACTTGTATTGACATTCTGGCGGTCCCTATATAGTTATCGTCTCATATGCCCTATTCTAATCACTGGGGCCCCTGTAGCAACCTTCCTGTGGCCAGGAGAAACTTCACATCTCCGCGATTGCGCACGCGGTCCATGAGCACGAGCAGCGTCGGGCATTGGAGGTGGCTCGGGGAGGACCTTGACAGATGAATAAACCAAGGGATTACGGGTTTGGGTTTGCTAAACAGGAAAGGTCCCTTGTGCGGCCCTTCCCAAACACTTGGGAGTCGATAGCAGAACCCCGTTCTCTGAATTCGACCTCAGTTTTCAAGCAAAGCCTAACTGATATGTGGCAGAATTGTGTACAATGGCCATTTCGAAGGTCCGTTGTCGAGCCTAAAACCCCGAACCCGAAATCCCTACAGCCAGACCTCTGACACCCTAAGCTCCCATTCAAAGCTCCGACTGTTGACGGGTTAAATCCTGCATGGCCTCACACACCCTCCGATCTTGGCCTTTCGCCGCCCCCGCTCCCCTGCACTGCCCCCACCCCCCACACCCCCAAAAAAAGTGAGATCTCCTAAGTCGGCCATGCAGACCTTCCGGCACCTTGAAGCTGTGTTACCTTGAAAGTCCTGCACCCCCATGCCAAGACCGTCAAACCCTCCAATCCCCCCAACAAGTCACTTCTCAAACCTCGAGAGCCTCCTCTCTTCAGCGTCAGTGTCCTTTGCTTTGAGGTCGGCGACACAAAGGCGCTGGCAGCACTCCAGGCGGCCTCCTTGGCCCAAGGGGCCTCGGGCTCCTGTGGACCTTTGAAGGACGGAAACGTTTGCCCAAGGGCCCTCTAAACTTCGTGTCAAAGCTTTCAGGTTCAGGGTGCAGAGGCGGCTTTGGGGCGGGGGTCTGGGTTAAGGCCTAGTGTGATCTAGGGTGATCTAGCTGCTGGCCTGTACTTCGGAGTTGCCGGGTCTGGGTGATGGCCTGGAAAGCCTCGCACTGCCGTTCCTCATTTACCGCCACACGGCTAGAGCACCTGCAGTGCCCCAGAACCCGATTTGGCGCACTCATGGGTGTTGGGTACAGGGCTTCGTGCCTTGAGGCTTTCGGGGGATAACTCGATACCGTAAACCCTCAGGGGCCAGCGTTGGTGCTCGCCATGGAGGTCCTCAATGCCTTCATGCCCAAACACAGCAAACCCATAGACTCCCATAGACACATTCGTTATTCATGGGAAACCATGGAGAATTCACAGAAAATCCCAGGAAATATATCACATGTGACAGGAATCCCATGAAAAACTCTTTCTGTAGAGTGATGGATTCACTCATGTAAGGGGTCCAGAGGAGGACTGCAAGGGTTCCCACAGAAGTTAGCAGAACGGCCGCGAACCTGCACAACTATCAGCAGTATAACTTCCGAGAATATTTCGCCCCGGCGCATCTTCTACGGACGAGAGCCTAGAGAAGCACACCTGTCGGGCCCCCAGGTTAAACAACTTGCTTCCTAAACCCAAGCTGCAAAAAATGAGTTCTCAGGACTGGGCGTTTAGTGCTTCTGTGGGTGCCAAGCTGGAGCTCAACTTTGCCCTCACTTTTGAGGGCGCGATCGGGGTCACCGGGCTCATGATCTAGGCCCAGTGGCTCTTTCGCCCCTATTTAAACAGAAGGGGGCACCCTGTTTCCTTGCTGGCCAACGTGACCTGGGATTCAAAGAGCAGCTGGCCTCAAAACCCACCCTGAGCCCCACGCCTAAAAGCCTGAAGTTGGCAAAACAAGGAGGGCGCTCGGAGCCAAGAGCGCAACGGCGACGCAAAACGCGGAAATGGTGCAAAGGGCGCCAGGTAATTAAATTAGCGCCAGATTGTGCGAAAAGAGAGCCCCTTCCGCAGTCCCCCAACTCCCCCTGATCTTCCTCCTTACATATTTTCTGGGGGTCCACCCTAAGTTGAGGGTTCCAGACGACGTCTACGCTCTACCCCAAAGCCTGAGATCCGAAACCCGGAGCTTTAAAGAAGGAGACCTTCAAGCCATACTTCCTGGACACATCTCATCTCACTAGGACCACTTGCCTGCGTCTTCCAAGGACCTACGTACGTCTCACAAGGACTCTAAAAACGTCGTTTGTTATCTAGTTTGTTTGTCTGTTTGTATCATGATGCCCTCATAAACTCTGAACCATGGGGTGGTGCTGGAGCTTGTTTCATGGTAGTCTCTGGTTTCACGCCTCCCTTCAAGGCGCGAGTCTTGCTGGGTTGCCGAGATGGCCACTTTCACATGGCAGGACCCGGTGTGGGGGCTTGCTTTTCTCTTTTTTTTTAGGGGGGGCACGGCTGAATACGCTTTTGTTGGAGATGCTTGAACCGACGGCTTAAGGCTTGGGGGTTTGGTGCTGAGGGATGTTGGTTTGGGGTGTGTCTGAAGTGTCGTTCTTGAGCCTGGAGGGGTGTGTGCTTGGTGCCGGAGATGGTAGGAGTGATGTGCCCAGTCTTAGGGCCATGTTTTGTATTTTTTAGGGTTTTGGATGCCTTCAATTCAAACTCTTCAGCCAGAAGATTGACAGGCCCCGAAGCCCGTTCCCAAACACTAGTACGGCTAAGGACTTAATTACTTCAAGTCAAAGAACGCTTAGGACAACATTGACACAACTTCTGTTTACAGCGTATTCGATTGCATTTTCCACGTGTGCAGCTTGATTTGAGTTCTCTAGCAGTGGCCCGCGGAGTTTACAAGCAGGAAACTTGACCTGAGGACAGTTGACAGTCAGCTTGTCTCCTTTCGGCATCACCATCGGTGGTGAACCTGGTGCAGAAGCTGCTTTTACGTTTCTGGGCCCGCATAGCCGCATAGAGCATGTCATGAGGGCTGCCATGCCCCAGAAGTGCAAGTTTCCCAAACCCCAGAGCCCTAAACCTGCAGCCGCGGTGCAGAACTCTGTTTTGACACATAATGATTGGGGCCAGACAAAGCATGGACCCGCACGATCCCCATGTTGCTCGGGTCTAGCGCCTTCCTGCCTCACGCGCGACTTGCTGCACGGAGATTTACGAACTGCAGCTCTCAATGCCTGGCCATCTGCTCTGACGGAAATCGGAAGGTGACCCAGACCCCAAACCGAAACCTCACTCTTCTGGCACAATGGCATAAAACTCAGTGCGCAGGCAAAATTTCAAGACTGACCCAGGTGGTCCATTGGATGGTCGAATGGCTTCGACACTGAGCCCTATGTGAAGCTGGCTTGGCGTTCAAGAACCTTTAAGACCTACCACAGTTGCATAAGGCATAAGAAACAACACTATTAATCCGCCTTTTACCACTATACAGGAATAGTATATTACATTTTGGGGTGCTTAAGCAGGTCGTAGAGACCTGGGCCCAGCTATGTCCTGGAAGGATCCTTGTAAGTGCTTAAGATGTAGCGACTTCCTAAAGTTCCGAATACTCTCGGCTTGCCCAGGTCTCCGAATAGTGTATTTCACAGTATTCCCAAGCAGAAACTGCGTGCAACATAGACAGCTTATCCAGGGCTCTAAATGTTTGCGTTCACATGCATCCAGCCTTTCCATAGCTGTAAATGCGGTTGACAGAGAGGCTTTGCAATACTCCCGTTCCAAAGCTCCGAATGATGTAATTTAGGGTGTTGGCAGCTTTTCACTCGCACCGAAATCTGTATTTTGCAATATTCGCAGCGTTTCCAGAGCTTCCAGTAGTGTGGTTTACAGTGTAATAACCGAGCACGAACCTACGATTTTGGGAAGCCCGGGGAAAGCCACAACAAAAAGACAACAGTAAGGCCAACCACACATCTCCACCCAAACCAAGAACCCAGGAAGGACGTTGCCTTCAAGATCGCTGGTGACATTCAGCTTGAGATTGCTGACATCGGAGGTGCTCATTAAAGTCTGGGCGGTGTTTAGAATGCAGGATTTTGGGTTTGGGGTAACGTATTGTTGTATGTAGCGATTCTGACAGTGTGTTCTATACGGTGGACCTTCTTGTTGGAAGGAGGTTGGGTTGGAGTACTTCCAAAGACATGGAAAGCCGCAAATCCGGTCTGTAGTTCCGCTGAGCCAGGTAATTGTAGAACATGCTGCCCAGCTCCGACAGAGACAGGTTTAGGTTTAGGGGCTGGATTGCGAGGGATTGCGAGGGCACAACTGAAGAAATGCAGTCGGGTGAACTTTCGCATGGGTTCGTTAAAAGACTTGTTCATGCCTCATGGAACTAGTGCTGCCACCACTTGGCGTAAGCCATGCGTTCGAAGCTCGCTTCGAACAGTGGATGATTTTGGCTAGGCTTATTGCTGAAACCTTAGACGGTTTCCTTGAAGACAACCCACACAGTCACTCGCTTGTGCATCCATCCACAGCCACAAATCTGTTGTTGACCAAGCTAGGCTTGGTGCGACTTGGAGCATAGAGCTTGCAAGGATTTCCGGTACCTGGGACTCAAGGCTGATCATCCTTGTCAAGGCTTTTCTTGACTGCACAAGGCAACACGCAACGATTTGAATAAACATGTGGAGCTGTACATGTCGAACTGCACCGCGCAGCTGGGTAGACATGGCGAACTGCATTTCACAGAACTGGACGAGCAAGCACTTGACTGCGCAAATTGAACATGCACCGCTGCACAGAAAGGCGACGAGCCTGAAAGCTTGCCTCGTTGTTTAGTCTAAGCCCATGGGCTCCTTTTTGTCGAAGCCTGGGCAGGCGAGTGGGAGTTCCCCGTTTCCGGGGAGGCCCCTGCATTGTCAAAGAGGTTTTCGGGGCTTCAGCATTCGGGGCTGGGGCCTATGCATGGTCGGGGGAGTTTCATGGTCATGGGCTACTGGTTTCGGGGATGCCGAGCCAACACCACGCCCCTGAAACATCCCATCATGGCTACCCGGTTACCCAAGTAGCAAATCCGGAACTCATGATATTTCCTAGGCCCTAGAGCCCACCGGGAAGGATCTGATTGTCACTTGTTCTTGACTCGGAATTCCTAAGTCCCTCAACTATGGTTCCAACTAGGTTGAAACGTAATTTTTGGAAGTGTTCTACAAGTGACACAGCGAATCCCAAAACCCTAAAAACCTATGGTTCCGGAGCCTTTCGCTTTCGGGTTACAGGCGTAGGGTGTAGGAACGGGGAATTAGGGACCGTGCGTTTCAAATCAGGTTCCGGGGAGTATCCAGCCCACCAAGATTGAAGATGTCATTGTGTACTCGGGTACTCCACTTGGAAGAGCTAGTCTGATGGTGTCGGGGGCGAGTTTATTGTTAGGGGGAGGCATTGGAATACTACCTCAGGCTGAAGCACTATGTGCTATAGCTGTCTAGTAGAAGAAACTCGGTCTGAGGACTGGCACACAGCCATTCCTGGCATCACCATTGGCGGTCAGTTCGGTGAGAAGGAGGTTGGAGAGAGAAGGGGACGTACTGTTGATGGACAAAATCCTGCACTACCCCTTATGAGCAACAGACCAACGTTCCCATGATTTAGAGTCCTTAGGGTCATGCAGGATTTTGTCCATCAGCAGTATGAGTTCGTGCTTCAGGGTGTAAGGACATGTAGGGTTTTGTGGCAAGAATCTCTACGCTGTGCTTGAGGGCGCAAGGAAAGAACGTTTATGTTGTATTTGGCACAGGGTTGCTTGACTTTCTTTCTTAGACAGAATTTCAAGACGACATGAAAAATGCGATGTTGTAGATGGTGTTTCAGGATTATGGGGTAGGGGGGTTTAACGGGCGAACGAGAGAGCGGGGGTCCAGATGAGTGGCTTACTGGATATCATAACTGGGTCCACGTGGTCTTCTGGATTTTGGGCACGGGGATTTTGGGGTTTGGGGTTTGTAGCAAGCTTTGGGCTGAAGCAGTGTGCTCCGGGTTCCCAGACCATCCGATATTGAAAAAGATCAATCACTATTGAATTTTTCAAGCGCTATGGAATTTTACTTCGGATTCAATCGAGTTGAACTTTTTGAAGCATTTCATCGACGCATAAAACCAATAGAAATGGATGGAATTCAATAGAAATGTGTCGTCAAAATCAACAGAAATTTTAATAATAATCAATAGAACATGAATCCTAAAATCAATAGAAAATCATTGGATTTGAAGAGTTTGGCAATCCATTTTCAAATCTGGTCCAACCCTATTTGTAGGGCTTTCCAACCCCACTTGCCGGGCTTTCCAACTCCATAATTGCAGGGCTTTCCAACCCCTTTTGCAGGGGTTGCCAACCCATTTCTCGGGGCAAACTTCCAGCCTTCAGGGGTCTCAGGGCTTTTAAACAGCAAGCCTTTGCAACAACATTTATCCTTTTTCCACAGCATGGCTACAGATTATCTGCACGATTCTATGTAAGACGTGCTGCCACTTCCAGCTTCAGAGACGGCTTGCGGTCGCCTTTCTCCTGGTTGCCTTCAGCAGCTTGGCATGCTTGCCAAACGGCTTCCAAACCTGCTTGCCAGCTGTCTTCCTCCTGCAGATTAGAGGTTTTACATATATATATATATATAAGCACTGAAAGAATCCCGCATCGGCGGCTGGCCTGGTCGGCTTGTCCTTGCTCTGGCAGTGGATCATCTCATCCGTCTCCCTGCGCCCTGGCAGCTCCATGGTAGTGCTGAAACGAAACTGCACTTTTATGAGCGGCTGCGGCGATGCCGCAGACTACCGTAGTCATCGAAGACGCTGGTTGTCTTCACCACCATGTCCCAAAAGAAACGATACTTCCAGAGTATCGATCCAGGAAGCTTCTCGGCAGGTGCTCCATGCACGGATGGATTTAGTTTTGATTCTGCTTTCTTATAAAGTAACTTGAAGAAATTTTTGCGAATACTCTTCCAAGCCAGTGACATCCACTCCTGAGAGCGGCGTCTGCTAGTTCCGGCAGGGCTTGGGCGGACAGTTCACCCAGGCTCCATCGCTTCAGCAAGCTTATTGCGAGAGGGCAAGCAAACGTAACTTGCATTGACAATTAAACACTTATACATACTTTTAGTGTACATGGGAATTCCTAGGAAAGAAATAAGATCTGCCGGGATTCCAACCCTATGCAGTTGTCGGGCTTCCAACCCTTCGCAGTTGCCGGGCTTCCAACCCATGGCACTCGCAATCGCTGATTTTTCCTTCAAGCTTCCAGCGGTGGCAGTCTATACTCGACCTTTTTTTCTTCAGAGCAGGATGACGAAGGATACAGCAAGTCGAGCTGTCTCCACCTTTCGTCAACGTCCAGCCAGATAGGCCAAGCCTGGCGCTCGCTGAAAAAATGTGTAGCCGCTTACAGTAGGTCTCTGTAAGATCCTGTGATTTTCAGATTGCACGGACGTGCAAATATATACGAGCAAACAGCAAACAGCAAAGAGATCCTGAAGCACGGGGTCACTCAGCGAGCCACACTCAGTGAGAGATCACCAGCACGGCGAAAACAGAGTGAACATGTTGCGCAGTGCTGCAAAGCAATGCTCGAAGACGTCATGATAGAGACCTGACTTAAACCCAAACCCAAGCCGCAAGATTTTTGGTGTGGTTTCTTGTAGCGGGCGCATGGGGCGTAAGGACGGTGCGTATAGTCTAGACTGTAGTTGCTTCTGAGTTGAGTAGAGTCTAGAGTCCAAAGCCCACAATCTAGATCCGAATCTTGTGCATTTAAAACGCGCCCGATAGGATCCCAAGTCTGTGGAAAATCACGCTTATCAATACCCAAATCTTGTGGAAAAACATGTCCGATACGAGCCCAAACCTGTGGAAAACTTGCCTTGTCTAGAGCCGAACCCTGTGGAAATATGTGTCCGATTAGGAAAAACGTGTCCGTTCAGAACCCAAATCTGTGGAAAAAGCTTCTCCGGCAGACCCCAACAATGTGGAAAACCGTGCTTGTTCTGAGCCGAAAGCTGTGGAAAACCGAGCCTGGATTTGCAGAAAACCAGCCCTGGATTTGCGGAAAACCGGGCTTGGAATCGTGGAAAACCGACCCTGGAGTTGTGGAAAAACAGGCCTGGCATTGCGGAAAACTGCTCTTAGTAACATGCCTTCCAAGAACTTTTATAAGCTGTTCATATAAAGGAAGTTAAAGTTTGAGAAGCGTGCGTGGAGCACCCCCCAATATTTTCAATATCGGATGGTCTGGGTTTGGGAGGGTTATCAGTTATGAGGCCCCCAGACCCCAAGTTAATGCAGGGTACCTACATGAGAGGCCCCTAAACATCCCCGAGATCGGAAACGGCGAAACGGGCAGCTTCGCGCAACGTGTTTCACGGCGTTTGCTCCTTGACGGGCTCAGGGCCTTAGCGGGGTTCAGGGGTTTAGAGGGCTTTAGTTAGTGTTAAGGGTCATGTAGAGGTTATGCCGCCAACAGGGACTGAAACATACTGAAGCCCTAAAGCAGAGTGCCTGAGACCGGGAACAGCCCTGCTATCGTCACCATATAGGATCTACGGTTCGGAGTTTCAGGGCTCTGGGTTTAGGGGCTGTGTGCGGATAGAGGAAGGCTAGGGTTCCTGATTATAAAGGTCCTTTGGTCTTACAGAAGAACATTTTGGACAATGGCACAAAAAAGAGATGTGAGTCCCGAAATTCAGCTTCAGGATTGTGCTGAGCTGACGATTCCACCCCCGTGCGTTATGCCTTGTAGCCTCGCGAGGCCTCTGGAAACCGAAATCTGTACGTCTCCGTATTTGCACTCGCGTACCTCGAGCGGAGTCGCACATCTGAGACAAGCCCCAAACCCTGAACCCGAAACTTTCCCAAGCCATGACTGCAAGCCCCGAGGGAGCTCAACCTTGAGGCCTTGAAACCCAACCGCACCGGAGCCCCAAAGGCCCTGTAGGACCGAAAGATGCTGGGACCCTGAGACCCAACAAAAACTCCG